CCACCAGGCCGCGTCCCATAGCCGGTACTCGGCTAGGTTACTACCGGTCTGCAGAAAGTTGACACAAAAAACGTACAATTCCCTAATAGCATTGTTACCGTTATGTGTGTTCAGGTTTTCATAATTAACTACAAGAACTACAAAAACATGATATAGAAGTAGGCCGAACGTAAGAAACACGCTATATGGAAATAATATCACCTTTGTTTTTGAATGTATTGTCAACATAAATTTCCTAACGCATCTTATTACATTAGATTTGTTTGTCTGTAATTCATGTAAAGGTGATCCGCCAAAATTTTGGTCAGGCTTTACCGGTTCGTCATTAAAAAAGGTTGCCGACCACTGACTTAGAGATCAGACCTGACATGGGCAAATTATGGCCCACGAGCCAAATCTGGCCTAACAAACAAAAACCAAATCTTGATGTTTTAGCTAAAGGATAACTCGAAGAATTTGTTGAGATTGCGATTTAATTCAGTTTTGGCACAAGGCTTATTGTTTTTCACTTTTGCTTTGTAACACTACTTATATTATTTATAAAATGTTACTTTTATATCACACTTACATGGCCTGCCAGTCTAGGTGGGCAAAATTCTTGGCCTTTGATCCGAAAACCTTGCTCACTCATGGATCAGACTCTACTCCTTGTCCAGGTTTTGCATGGAAATATAAGTATCAGAAATCTCAGATACATTTAATGCTTGTTTTATGCCTCAAATGCTGTCTGCCTAAAATGGAAACTCGTGAACTGAACTTATTGTGAACAGTGGGATAACTCAAGTCCATGCATTTGAAACGAAATTAGGTAATTCTATACCTGACATGGACTGGTGACCGGACGAGAGGCAGTGGTTAGCCATATAATTAGGCTGTCTAATGTACTTTCCTCTCCCCTGGGATAAATAGGTAAATCAAACTAACAAAAGCAAGCTAACAGAATTATATAAAAACTGACAAAAAACAGTATGATGCGCTGCAGCATTAAAAGTTATTCCGCTGCTCATTAACTGAGTAGGCACATCCCTATCACCTATCTCTTACAATTATCCTTTTTTATTATGTGCACATTTATTTACTCATTTTAGACCCCGCCTCCGCCACGCCCAGACCAACATATGTGCCAGCCATTATTAGATGCCGTAGCCACAGCGATAGAATCACCAATGCTGAATCATACCTTGAAACGAACGTTTGGACCAGCTTTACAAGTATTAAATGGAGATTACTATGTGTGAGTATTCATATTGTGAAAATTGTGAAAATATTTCTGTAAAATAAATATTTCAGCTGTGGAGTATGAATTTGAATTGTTTTCACTGGAGTGTGAGCTAGAGCTTGGTTTCCCAAACTTTTTGGGTAGCGGACCAACCCTTTTGAATCTTATTTTCAACGGACCCCCATCTTTTTCTGTATCAATTCCTGTGAGGAAGGATAAATTTTACTTTGACAAAAAAAAACTCATGAAAGTCTGAATCAATACATATAACGTTGAATACTGGCAGGCTAACGGAAATTCGATAAGATTATGTTCTATTTGTATGTGTTTCAGACTCTTTCCATATCGTTGCGGATCGTTGCATATCAGCACTGACCCCCAGGAGTCGCGGACCCCAGTTTGGGAAACCCGAGCTAGAACTTGCGAACCCACGCAGGGTAACCAGAGAGGCAATGCCGAGCGTATACTGGTACTTACTGCTTAGCACGATGCACTACCCGTCGCGTTTTGCAATCTCTTTCTCTCTCTCTCATACTTTTATTTTTTTAGACCTGAGAGTTCATGTACAAAACAAGTGCGAATTCGTGCTCCAAGCAGTGACAGTGACACCGACCCTGGAATCAAAGTTCCTGATATTGTCCAAGGAGAGATTGCCAGGCTGGGGTCAAAGTTCAAAGTCACGGTTGACCAGTCACAAAGCACTAATTATGGGACTCTTCATTTAATATGCAGATTGGGTAAGTAGGCTATATTTCATTACTATATGTTGGATACACACTGAAGTTTGGGCATACGGTTAATGCGACTTAGGGAGCAAGAATTCTGAATAATTAAGTTTGGTTGAAAATACCCCTCCATTGATACCATAGCATACCCAGTGCGGCAGTGTGGCTCATTGTGCTAAGCGTTAGGAATATGCTCGCCACCGCACCGCTAATTACTCTGCATGTGTTGATGAAATAATGTTGACGAAATAATAAATCTCTCTCTCTCTTTTTCCCTAATCTAGAGTTTTTATTTCATTTAATTCTAATTCTAGACAATTCTACTCTTCCTACCGTACCGCCAATCAGAATTCTAGTTCCCACAGCTTACCCTAAAGAGGGACCAGAATGGAAGTCATGGTCTCAAGAAGATAACAGTGATAAAGAAGACTTAGAACCAAGTTCAGAGGAATCAAAAACTGAAGCAGAAGGGATGAAAAAGCCTGAATTTTTATCCAAATTAAAACCAAACATGAAAAAGCATATAAACCATGCTATGAACCATAATGAAACTATATCCGGAATCCTGACTGCTTGGGAAAGGAGTGTCAGAGAAACTATGGTCTGCACCAGACAAAGTTGATAATGACTGAAAAGTTTATTTGCCCTCAAAGCAGATATACATTACAGGTCCTTCTGCCTGGCCTGTTCAAAACTGTATATTACCATCACCAAAACGGCACCCTCGCACAAACATGTGAACAAATAATATTTACTAAGCAACAACACGAATGGCACAATGATTACAAGTGTCTGGTAAAGTAATCAGACCAAAACATTTACAACTACCAAGATGGCTTTGTCTGGCATATTGAAATCAAGCTTATTCCATTTGACCAGTAACTTCAGTGGATAAAATATATTAAATGAGATAGCAATGCTCAAATATACGAACAAGAAGGCTAAAAGTAAGGTAAAATTTTTCGTCATGGCAACGTCAAAAAAAGTAACTGTTAAAAAGCGTCAGTCGTGACATGTTTAATTGGCATTTCGCTGTAATTCATTACTGTTGAAAGGTGTCAGTCGTAGAATGTTTTAAGTAGAATTTCATCTTAACTTCTGTTAATTTTGTGTTACTTTTTTAACACCCTGTATATATATTACCATCACCAAAGCAGCACCCTTACACAAACATGTAAACAAATAATATTTACTAAGCAACAACAGTAATGGCACAATGATTAAAATTGTCTGGTGAAGTAATCAACAAAACATTCACCATTACTGTAGGCATATTTAACATGGCTTTGTCAGGCATATTGAAATGAAGTTTATTTCTTTTGACCAGTAAACTTTAATGGATAAAATATATTGAACGAAATAGCAGTGCTCAAATATATGGACAAGAAGTCTAAAACGAAGTAGTATCGAATATTTTACAGTACTGGTGGCAAAGGTACTGGTTTCTTGGCCACCAGTACACTGAGATTCGGTCCCACAAAACTATGACATGAAAAACGAATCCAGCAAAGCCCACAATAGCCTTGTAGCGACAACAAGCTTCAACCACTGAAAATTTCAAATCGATTGGTTCTGTAGTTTTCACAACGACAAAATAAAACGATCTGTAGATCCATTACGTGGCCAATTGATTACAAGACCCTAAGAACTAGCATTATTTAGAATGAATATCGATTGTTACAGTACTCCAAGGAAATTTGTAAAAGGTAAATTGATAGCCTAGGGGTGACTTCTTCCACATGTGTTTGTGAGAAGGAAGTTCATGATAATCGAACCTGATTTCCTTGCATTGGTTTCTGAGGTTTTACATTCCGTTGGAGTAACACCTGCCTAAGAAATCACGATTTGTCCAGAACAATATGTAATGTGCCTGTATCGTATACTGCACCTGGATAAAATATATTTAGTAAATATTGTATAGAATCGTAAAGATGCATAGATCAATGAAAGGTAGTTAGTCTCGTAGATATTGGTACTGGTAAAATTTGAGATGAAATATCAGGCTTGTGCGATCCTCAGTTTGAAAAAAAGAAAAAAAAAAGGTGGGTTCCTAGACTGGAGGTTTCTTCCATCTTCAAGCACTTGGAGAAAGAGATTTAATATTTCGTCAAGCAAAAAATACAGTCATCAGTAGCATAAAATAGGGACAGCGATACAATTGCTTGACATGGATAGCAGCGACTGATACGGTCATCGAGATCAGCATCTACCATATGTGCTGATGTGATTAATATTTGCACTAGAAGATGACCAGTGGCATGACGATAACATTTTTACGAAATTGTGGGATTGCCAAGTAACTTAAAAGTTATACACGTGTGTTTTTGAATGAGCGTGGGTATTTTATAATAATTATTCGTCCATTGTGTTTTATAGGGAATATTTCTTTCTATTCTTTTCTCTCTAAACACAAAACCACACTTGTTGGTAAGGAGTTACTATAGTTGGTAAGACTGGAATCTGTTCGGATTGGCCTTCTCGGTTTATTACACTATAGATAAGGTAAGTATAGGATTTGGACCCAATATTTTTTTTCAACCTCTGATGCCATCATAATCAATTCAAACGCTGTAATAACTGTTTTTGTCGAGACATTTTTCGGGGATGATAGTGATTTCAAGAACAATGTAAACCATATGTTATCGTTTTCAAATATTTAGAAGGAAACCTTGACAAGATGGGCGAAAAAGATGCAAGTTGACAATTCATGGGTCAACCATTATCTGATTTGAAAAAATATAATTAGAAAATATAGGTACTGCAGTCAAAAAGTTGAACAGAACACAATCTGGCACGCGGGTGTGCCAGGCGCAAGCGACCGAAAATAGAATATTGACACCGTACGTCTTATTTGTTTCCTCCCAGTCATGAACGATAGCATATGTTTATTCGATATTTATATATGTATGCATATATTGTTTTCTTGATTTTGCAATACGAAATACTCTCTTTTGCGTTTAGAAAATATTTTGATTGGGTCAAAGGTCGGAAGAAACATTAAGCTCTCTACTGACAACTCGTGGATACATTGGCGGTTTTCGTGGAGCGCAAAATTTGTCCAGTGTGTTGTGAATGTTGCTGTATTCTGGCTAAATGCGGAGCTGTACCGTAGGGCGTAGGCTAACTTTAATTTCTCTTTGAGTCGCTTCGTGTTAAAATATTTAAATGACATCTTTTGGTAACTGGCAGCTGTCATCTAGTGACAGCGAAGATGAGAAAGCAACGAACGGAGTTCTGTTGAAAGTGAAGAAGAAGAGGAAAAAATACAGCACAAAGTAGGATAGGATTTTTATATTCATACTACAGACAGAGGGATGTATCGTTATAGATAGGGTTACCATATTTTTGTGACTTCAAATCGGGACGCCTCGAAAGACAACGACTCCTTAGCTGTGATTTTATAACTTCACATTTTCCGATTTTACTACATAGGCCCCAGTCTGGATTTCATGGCCTTTTTGAACGAGAAATCGGGCGTGCAATCAGAAATTCCCGCTTGCAAATAAGAATTCCTGGCGTGCAATTATAGCTCACGACGTGCAAAACAACTGCACTCGCGTGCAACTGACTTTGACATCAGATACGGTACCTCTCAATACATCCACGTAAAATTACCGGTATCGGATAAAAATTACGTTGAATCAGAGAAAAAATGGACGTTTGACCTTTGACCCCAAACATTATTTCTACAGTTTATCGCTAATTTTGAGAGTGTTTGTGCGACTTTGGATACCGGTACTGTTCAGTACACCGCGTAAAATTATTGGATAAAAAATACGTTGAACCAGAGCAAAATGAACATACTTTGTCATTAATTTTGGTAGTGTTTTTACGTAGAATTAATGGATAAAAAATACGTCAAATTAGAGCAAAATGGACGTTTGACTTTTGACCCCAAACATTATTTTCATACTTTGTCACTAATTTTGGGAGTGTTTGAGCAACTTTAGATACCGGTACTGTTCAGTACATTCGTGTAAAATTATTGTATGGAAAATACGCTGAATCAGAGCCGTACTTGGCCATTGGTGCGGAGGCGATCTTTTCGTCCATAACTATTCTCACGGGATTCCTATTTCCTATCATTCAACACGATATGGACCTTTCCCCGAGCATCGACTTCCTTGTTTACTTCGTGACATTGGCCAATCAGCAAGATGCAAAAAAGGACGTAACAATGAGAGGAATTTTTCGCGGGTCAAAGGTTGGAGAAAGGTCCATGGTGTTTTTGCTTCGCAATATTTCGATCAGACCAAATTTTGCAAGCTGGTATTTGTCGACAATTCTGGAGGTATAATATTTTGGCATCTTTATATTACTGGATTATTGATTTTAAAACCATTTAAACCGATTTACATTGGTGAGCAATTGCAAATTTTCGGCGTGCAAAATTGATTTCGCTCGCGTGCATTTTTGCGGAGCGCTAGCGCCCTCGGGCGTGCACCTGCCATGGAATCCAGTCTGGCATAGGCCTACATTCTGCCTACATTTAAAGCCGTCTCGTCTGTCTTTATTGACCATATTGTTATCGAAATTTCATGCGCATATTTTCTGTCCAAATATCGGGTTCAGTTCGAAAAATAGGAAGGAATTGACGTTAACGATACCGGTACAAATAATTCGAATTTAGACTAATTAGTATTGGTTTACATGTGATACGTCTGCCATCAATGGGAATCAGCGAAAACGAACGCATTCACCTTCAGTAAGTAGGCTAGCGCTGCGCTACACAGAAACAACAGTAACGAGAACATGTTTGTATATTAGGCTGGAAAAGCGGGACTTATGGCTGACTTATCGGGACGGCGGGACAAAACGCTGAAAAGCGGGACGTATGGTAAGCCTAGTTATAGATAATATCGACCAAATTTCCGGTATGGGTATTGTGTCAGTATCGGCAAAATGTAGACCGATATTCCCCATATATTTAGCTTTTTATTATGATCCAGAATGTTTTAAAAAATAAATTAGAATACTGATGGCTCATCGATGTGGCGCATTGTGCTAAGCGTTAGGAATACGCTCACCACTGCATCTCTGATTACCCTTCGTGGGATCGCAGGTTCGAATCCCATGCAGGGATGGTTATGTGCGAGAGGATTGCTGGACTCCTTGCCGTCGTTGGGTGGTTCACGTAACCGTTGGTCGGTTACGACTTCCTCCACTATCAAGTCCAAGCTTCCGAAAACAAATAACTGGCTAACTAATCCCATACCCGACCTGTACTGGTAACCTGACCGAGGCCGTGGTTTGCCATATGATTAAGCGGTCTTATCAGCTTTCCTCTTCCCCTGGATATATATGCAAATCCTATCCTATGTTGAACCTAAGAAATTGTTTCTTTCCTGGATAGATCACGAACTATGGGGCATGCACGTCCACACGGCACCACCGCGAGTAGAAACAGGAATAGAATTCTGACCTGTTTTTAGCTGTTTATCAGCCAAACTAGCTCAACTAATTTGGATATTTTCGCTGCCAAATTTTTATATTAACATTTTTAAACTTTACCATGTCATTTTTATTTTTTATTAAATAATCGTATTTGCTACACCGATTTTATGCATTTGTACCCCCACAACTAATCGATCGACTAACGAAAAACTAATGATCTTCTGCTGCTCACTGACAGCTCGTTGGAAAGCTTATTTAACGAGCTTGCAATTGGCGATTGAAGAAAAAGTTTTTTTAAAAGTGGTGGTCTGAGTCACAAACCGGATAGAAAAAAGGCATTTTTTTTTTTCTGGGAGTTGAAACTTCAAACCGTGATGAAAAATAGAAATATTCGCTAAATCCTTTACTGTTACCGCTTCGTGGTTGGCAAACAATAGCATAATATTGCTGTAGCAATTTTGTGATCCAACTCAAAATACTTTGGTAGATGGAAGGGATAATAGGTCTTCCATTACCACCCAAAAAACACCGAAATTTGCATAAATTTCAAAAACACTCCCTCGTTCCGCCGCAAATAAAATTCCCACCGTAAACGAAAGCGAGATTTACCGTCGCTTATGTTAATCTCGAAGAAGACTTCTTATCAATAAACTAAAACCCGAAAAAACTAGACCAACAGTTTGCGACCGATTGCTAAATAAAACAGTGGAGTACATCAACGTACCCGCCGCAATCTAGCGACTTTTGTCGTGGGTACGTATTAGAGATGTACCGATACCACTTTTGTCGCCGATACCGATACCGATCCGATACCAGCTAAAAACGCCGATACCGATACCGATACGCCGATACTACAAAAAGGCCGATATTACCGATATTCCGATACCGATACTATGTAATTATTACTTAATTAGGTATGCTGTGTAGGGCAGACGGGTTAAAACAATGGTCTTTAAGCGTTGTTCATAGTACACATTATTTCAGATCGAAAAAAAATATATATATATCACATAATATGAAATTAATGTTTGGTATCCATATGCTGTAACTGATTAAGATACATTGTACAGCAACGCTAGTAATCTCGGTGTTCAATTAGAAAACTCATAAGCCGGGATGTCCAATTTGAATTTAATGTTAATATCGCGAGCTTCGAATATCGTTATTCGTGTTTAAAAGAATATCGAATATCACCCACACATTCTAGCGCCGCCGTCCTACGTTCAAATTAAAAGCATTTTACAAATATTTAATTTAGTGGCTAATCGTAATCGTCGACCCAATAAGTCAAAGCCAACATGAAAGAATATCAATCAGCACCGACAAAAAGAAGGCCCACCTATAACCGTTGAGGATGTTTTTTTACTTCACTATTTTATAATATTTTACAATTGCTATCATATATTTTGAGACAGTCTAGGGCTAGGCGGTCAAGTCAATATATCTATAAAGAAATCGTGTAGTTAAGCAGAATTAAAATTAATACCTGTGTAGTGGGATAATTCTGTCGGAATTTAGTTTATCGATGTCGACGGACTAAATGACACTCGTACTTGACGACAAACAGTCAGAATTTATACCCGTGCCAAAAGTCCATGTGCCGTTAATAAGGAAGGACCCCAATTCCACTGTATGATTTAAAACTGGGCGCCTAGTTGCTTTTTGTTATGTGCTGTGTTGATATATTTCTTCATAAAAACTATGTAATATTAAAAATGTCAATATAAAAATTTGACAGCGAAAATAGCCAAATTAGTTGAGCTAGTTTAGCTGATAAATAGCTAAAAACACTTGAATCCTATTCTCTCGCAGGGGTGGGGACATGTATGGCTCATAGCTCACGATCTCTCCAGACAAAAATAAATCAAAAAGTAGTATTCCAACTTATCTTTTAATACATTCTGGACCATATCAAAAAGGTAAATATATCGGTAATATCGGCCTTAATCTAACCGATACCGATACATGGCCGATACCGAAAAAATGGCCGATATTGCCGATACCGATACCCGATACATCGGTACATCTCTAGTACGTATACGTGCCCACCGCACGGAAAGGGTTAAATATCAGGCTACCTACCTGGTAATTATGAAAAATCGAATTATCGAATATTAGTGTTAATTCAAATTGTTAACAAAATGTCAGTATTAAATGTTAATTTCCTATTAGTAAAATACAAAATATGGTGTTATATATACAGGCACAATCCTGCGCATGCAACTCAATTTAATAATTTGATAAGAGAAGTCAACATTTATTTTACTACCCACTGTAGCCAAACCCTATGAGTTTTCTAATTGTACACTGAGATTCAGTACACAATGCATCTGAATCAATTAACGAATTTGGATCCCAAACATCAATATTTTATTATGGGTGTATATGATATATCTCTTTTCCAATCTGAAATGATTATTAATGGTTATGTACATGTGGTACTAAACTACACCAGACACAGAATATGAACTTGTAAACCCATGCAGGGTGATCAAAGATGTAAGGGCAAGCATATTCTTAATGCTTAGCCAATGTGCCAGTTGTAAAATGTCAAATACCATCTAAATTTTTTATCTTCATTTCAGCAATAATGTTGAATCAAACATGAGTGATGAAGAATATGTTCCGCTATCAGCGAGATTAAAAATGAAGGGCTCGAATTCAATTGAAATTTCTGAAGAAGAGGAAGACCTGCCGGTTTTTAAAATACAGAACAACACATCAACAGCAGCATTAACAAACAAAGAAAATGTTACCTCAATTATAAACTCAAATGTTCAGCAGGGTATTGGAGTTAAAATTTCACCTTGTAAAATGAACATTGAAACATTGGATCTCACAATTAGTGATGATGAAATGGGATCTCTAAATTCATTTCCTAACTCTATGCAGGATATCAGGAAAAAAAATTCTCCTGTTAAAAGTAAAATGAACATTGAAACATTAGACCTTACAAATGCTGATGATGCTAGTTATCTGGAACCCGTTCCTAACGCTATACAACGAAAATCCCCCAGAAAAAACCCTGAATCAGAAAAAGCAAAAATTGCTAAAAAAGCAGAAGCTGATCGAAGAAAAGCACTGAATTTACATCTAAAAGCACTGAAACCAGAGGAATGCCTGAAATACATGAAAGTTTTAGTCTCACAATTGATTGTGTCGATGTTCGAAGATTTTGACTTCATGTCTGAATTGAAGGTAAACTGTGACTACTATGGTCAGTATTACTTATTATGATAGACATACTTGAATTGAGTATTTTATTATATATTTATTGTGAGTATTGAGTTCTTGTACCATTGCGGAGTTGAAAACAACTCATCTCAATTGTGAACAATAATCAATTAGCGAATTTGCTCTGGAGTCGGAGCAGGGGTACAGCCATGATTTTTTACCTGGTAAGGGTACACTCGAATTGAATAGCACACCAAAGATGCAATACGCGGCGCGGTTAAAGAACTTGAAATTAATTTATTACGATCCCTGTAACCCTCAATGGCTGCATCATCGGTCAAAGTCTCATTCGTAAACTTCTTAATTAAAGTCAGGATTCAGAATTTCAGATTTTCGATAGTGATAAAGTAAATTAAAACTTTCTATTGAAACAGAATTAATTTGCTAAGCGTTCTTAATTAACAGTCATTATTAAAGGCTTGCATACACTAAAGATTTTATCATCAAAATTTGATTTTCTTAAGTCAAAATTTTCACGACATTCCACATCTCTGGAGTCCATTTAATACTACCTAGTTTGCGGGGTAAGGCACAGTCTGGTCAAAGCCTTTATTCAACATGAAAAATTATTACATTTCAGGATGGATTTGAACCGGCTTGCCAGAGAGAATTATTTGACCTTCCCTGTGTTCGATGGAGCAGAAAGGTTACCACAACAGAGGTTGGGGGTCAATCATCAGAAATACATGATGAACCTGAGATGTTGGTGGCACTCCCAGCTTCAGAGTTTGTTAAAATGGTCCATGCACAAATTAACGCATTTTCTAATGTAAGGAAGATTTTATTTATATCGGATTTTTTTTCAATTAAGAGAATTTCTCAAATTGGTCCCTCGGCCTCTTTAGGGGGCCACAAAGTGATTTTCAGGGGGCCATGAACAAAGGTGTTCAATGGACTAGATAACAGCAGCCTCTGATATCTAACCATATCTTAAAGAATCACTCTTCAGACTTATTTTGGTGTTAAAGTTATCCAAAGTATACAAGCGCACATCTTCTATCTCAGTTGGTTCATTTGGTAAAAGGAATATTGATAGCAAGCCAGGAAAAGTCAGTTTTTAGTGAATCGTTCAAAGAGTAGAATGTTGTTGGAAAAGGCTTAGGAATTGATGTCTCACTGCAAATACCACACAAAATTGCATTTCAGACTACAAACACAACCCCCCCCCCCCAATTTTGGTTGGATATGCTCTTGCTTGTACTGGGCCTTGTTTGAAGTGAGACCATGAATAAGCGGCGCTTAAAAAGAGGTGCATCATATTATTAGGCTCTTCTCATTGGCTTATATGGATTTTCTTATATGGAAATCCTATTGTTTAATTTTCAAATATTCAGGATGAAACCTTGACAAAGTGGGTTAAAAAGCTGCAAATTGAGAATCCAGGGATCAACATTCATCTGGTCTGCCATGGTTTGGAAAAATATAATAAGAATTTGAAAAATAAACAGAGAAGAGAGGAGAAAAGGCAAGGTACACTACGATAATTTTTATTTATCCACTCGCCAATTAATTATCTGACATTAAACGTTTCCCAGGAATTTTCAAAGGGGGGAGGGGGGAGAAGTGACATTTCTAATGGCCAAGTTGGAGAGACAAGGTGCAATACAATAATTTTCATTTTACCACTTGCCAATTAATTACCTGACTTCAAGCTTTATTTTATGACTGGTAACAACGCTTTCAGGTCAAGAAAAGATTCAAAATCTTGTTGCGACTCCAGGTCAAAGTCAATTTTGGGTTTGTGTCAAGGGGCTTATCCAGGAATTTTTAAGAGAGGAAGGGGGTTCTGTAATTTCTAATTGCCGAGTAAGAAAGACAAGGTGTAATACAGTAATTTTTATTGAACCGATTGCCGATTAATTACCCGACGTCAAGCTTTTTGACTGGTAGGTCTGTTGTGTTCTGATAAAATTTGAAATCCATTCCCGACTCAAGGTCGAAGACAATATTGGGTTTGTGTCAGGGGCGTGTCCATGACTTTTCAAGGGGGAGGGGGTTCTAAAATTAATTGTTAAGTTAGAATTTAACTGCTAGCGAGTCGGGTCGGAGGTCGGAAAACATTAGTTTTCAAGAGTCCTGAGGGTCTAAAAAGCGTTTCAAGCCACAAAGAATTGCGCTGAATATGATACCGAAAAATTAATTTTTTCACATTTCAAAAAAGGAGGGTTTTTGACCCGAAAACCATGGGTCAGCCTCTGATTTGGGTATAATTTATACTCCATATCCAAACAACGTGCAAAAGCCACTAACCCATTTTATGTATGCTGTGGTATTTCTATACCTTACGATTGAGCCTATTTTATATCCAGAAAAAGGCACAACTGCAAAGAGGAAAAAAACGTTAAGTGTACCAGAAGTCTCTCAAGATGAAATTGAAGAAGTTTTGGTTGACTTACAGATTGAATGTCGAACAACTGTGCTTTATATTGAGAAACCCACAGAGCTAGTCACCATGGTTAAACAGGTGAATGCAACAAGCCTGAAATGGCCAGAACAAGTCCATGCCAGTCCACTGATCTCTTCAGCAAAATCTCCACATTGCCGTATTTGTATCAATGCACATGTACCTATATTTCAGCAATGCTTTTTTTGTTTCATATCTACCTCATTTATTCAATCGTGACTCTGTTTTAAAAACACAATCTTTAAGTGGTTCTGGAACGGAGATTACACATCTCTGGTCCAAATAGCGTTTCACACCGCAAATTGGGTAGGCCCAATGCAAACTGAAAAGGTTCTGGTTTATCTAAGAATAGTGATTCCTTGTATAACAATGGTGTTTGTACATGGCCTTGTACCTAGAGAAAGACGTGAAATAAAAGTCATAAAGAATGAAAAAAAAAATAAAAGCATTATATTTACTAAGCGTTCTTAACAGTCTTTTGAACGAGGGTTACATAGGTCAAAGATTTTTTATTAAAATTTGATTCTCTATATTGACCCTACATATAGGGTGTCCATGAAGTCCTCAACAAAATTTCAATTTTGTTATGAAGGCAATTCTCAATATATCCCAAACAGATTTGTTGTATTTTAATCAGTAATTGTTAAAGTATTTTTACTTCATTTAATACGTCAAAACAATATGTAGTATCAATAAATTCCTTTGCAAATTAAAATTTTTTAAGACTTCATGGACATCCTATATATCAGTGGTGCGTGTACACTGTACAGAGATGTAAAATAAGAGTCTCAAAAAAAAAATTTCTTTTTTAAAAATTTATTCACTTTGTGTTCCAGCTCACAAAGTCGATCGGTGAGGCACCTTACAAACGAATGAAGCGTAATGATGTTCTCTTTATTAATGAAATTCCTTCTGTAAAAATCAACCCCAAAACTGGAGAGGGATTGAAAAAAGTCTGGAAGCAAATGATGCAACAGTTTCATAATGTAAGTGCTTTTTATGGGTACTTCCGAAGTATGTGTACCAGGTTAGCGTTAGGCCATAATTTCATTTCGATTTTCCTTGTTTTAGTTATCTTACGAGATCGGGAACTGTCCGTGTTAGCCAAGTGCCCATACGCTTCAGTCCCTTTACATTACTTGATGTAAAATATGCGAAAATAATTAGTTACCTCCATATTGGTACACACACTTCTGGAGCGCACTTTTATGTTGTTTTAAAACAGACTTCATGGTATTATAGCTTATATCGATCATCATGGAAAAGCAAATATTCCGGCAATATTCCCATTTTCAAAGACGTTGGTATTCTGGTACAGTGTGGAAAAGTAGAAAACAATAAGCCTCATGCCAAAACTAAATTTAATTGCAATCTCAGCAAATTCCGTGATCTATTTTTTTTTAGCTAAAACATAAAAATTTCGTTGTGGTGTGGCAGTATCAGGCGGATCAGATTGAATTAGCCAACGGGCCGGATTTGGCCTACGGTCTGTAGTTTGCCCATGTCAGTTATGAACTCTACTCGATATCAAATTATCCTGATTTATTGCAGGTAACTCCAGTCATGGCTACAGCAATCTCAGACCGTTACCCTTCATTGCTCTCTCTTATCAAAGCTTATGAATCGTGCGGAAATGATACTTCAAAAGCGGAAATGTTGCTTGCAGATATCCCTGTACGAAGGGGTGTCGGAACTTTACAAACAAGTCGGCGGATAGGAGCTGAACTTTCGTATAAAATTTATCGATTGCTAATGTCACGGATATCTACAGAACGACTGTATTGATCATCCGATTTTAAGCCAGAGAAAAATGAGTTGTAATTGACCACTGTAGAGCTATGAGCTTCTGATAATGGGATTCCAAATTTTTGTGTGTGTACCAGGTTGGGGTTAGGTCATTATTTTATTCCCATTTTAGTTCTATTACGAGTTCTGGTACTGTCTGTGCTCGCCAAGTGAATACACCCCCTGTCCATAGGTTCCACTTACTACACAACTTGATGTGAAGTAGTCGAACAATATTAGTTACCTCCATATCGGTACACCCACTTCTGGAGCGGCCAAATTTTTTTGAACAATTTTGGCAGGTTCCATCATTTATAGCTCTAAAAATCAAGATGGGGTTTGGTGATTGTCATAACATTTTAAAAACATGTTCGCAGGAACCACGTGAACCCCCTGAATCCAATCATTGGGCTTCTACTCTACAAATTCTACTCTGAGCCTTAAAAACTCCAATTCTAGGGTACTTCTGGCACTAGGGAGACAGCATTTTGACTACTAAAAGCTCACACAACACTATATGAGTTGTTAAAAGGGGAGCGTTATATGAAGTTACCGATAACAGAACTGGCATGGTTGATTGTGTGGGTCTGAGTGATGTTTCAAAATATTGCTATTATTGGTTTACCTCATTTCTTTATTGATTCATTCGTGAATACTTTTTTTTGAAGACTGTTGGATAACTAACTCATTCTGTTTTCGGAATCATAGTTCAGAACCCATGGGGCTTGTTCGTTGGTGATGTTACAGCTTCCTTCACCAACCTTGTACTATGTGTGTATTACTTGTTCACTACTCAATTTTACTACTGAAGTATGTGAACCAAGATGGCGGACACCGGAACGTAGTATGTGTACCATGTTAGGGTTAGGCTGTAATTTCAAGTATAAATACTACGGGAGTCACTTGGCTAGTCCCCGAACCCGTAACAGAACTAAAATGAGAAAAATTGGAATAAAATTATGGCCTAACCCTAGTTCCAGTGTCTACCATCTTGATTCACATACCCAATTTTATGACCCATGACTTGGACAAGAGACACACTATGTTATTGACTTCTATTATTCTTTCCTTTCGGAGATGAAATACTTTTTCATATTCCTTGTTATAATATCTAATATATATGTAGATTTCTTTCTATATCCAGTACTAAATGTATATTTTTTCGAACAACTTCTTATATTGTTCTGCCAGACATCACTACCTTATTCGAACTTGCAACTCAAAATTGCAGTGTGGTTCATGCAAGTATGTCTGTCATTGGTTCAAGAGGATGTCCCCCGGGATAATTATGTGAATCTTATCCTTAGAAACCACTAATAAGTATATACTTGGGTCGCTATTTCGGGACCAGATTTCCTGGAATTTTTACCATCTAACCCCGCATCGAGAGTGTCACCATTAAGACGATTCTGATTGTTTGCAAAAAAAAAAAAGATCTGAAAATGCACGCTCGTTCTGAAATGTTTGATTGTTTGTAGGGATCATGCAAGTTTTCCGTGTTTTCTCGCCTCTACCTACGAGGTTTTTCGAAATCTTCACCATCCAATCCCGGAATTATTAAAATTAAAGACACACACTCACAAAATATTATAAGCGGTCATGTTTATTTCCTATGAAACTGTCAGCTGTTTTTCGACGACCCAATTCAAAAATGCAGAATAAAACCGTTTTGTAATGGATTATATCCAAAATAAAATTGGAAAGGAGGCCGCTCATCTCCGCACTTCTTATTATTCTGAGTGGATTCGAATCGTTTGAGAATAATTACGTGCGAGAGGATTAAGTGAGGAAAGGACTCATCTCTTTCGTAGGGTGGTTGACGTGACCGCTGGTCGATAGCAGCTTCCTCCAGTATCAAGTTCATGCATTTGAACAAATAACTGTTTACCTAATCCTGTATCCCACGTGGATTGGCTACTAGACGAGAGGCCGTGGTTCGCCATATGATTGAGCCCTTTTATAGGCATAGCATCATGATAACAAAAAATAGGGGGGATTATTTAGAAAGAGCGCAATCAGATACTCGGTGATGACATATGATTGGATTATGCACGCAGGAGTGGAGATGCAACCAATGAGGTTATAAACACGGAATTAAAAGGCATTTTAGGTCCTACATTGTATTCAAACGCCCTCTCACCAACATGAAGCACAAACTAGGCCCATGTGCACGATATATCAGAACGATCAAGCTGTTATCGAAGTAGCAAAATTGTCAGTAGGTGCATTTTGAAACGCTCTTTCAGTCTTCGAAAAAAGAAATTAAAAATTGCTGGACTCTCCGGCACCGTAGGGGTCACGCGTATGTTAGTCGTTGGGGTCACGTCACGGCTGTTCCATTACGGCTTCCTTCACCATCAAGTCCATGCACCTGAAAAGGAATAATAACTGGTCCGTAGTCCGTACCCAACATGGACTGGTAGTGGTAACGAGAAGCCGTGATACCATATGTTTTAACCTCATCAGCTTTCCTAACTATCAAAATCATATTATTCTGCTTTCCAAGCATCCGGAACGACTTAACAAGATCCGACTGTTGCAAAAGTTGTATGTACAGTATGTATGTATCTTCATTTGCCTCGACAATATATGTATAATAAATAAATAGCGTTCACCACAAACGCTAGGAGCTGGAAGTAACTGATGATGTATCATAACATAAGTCACCAAGAATTTTTTTTTTTTTGTATCGGATTATGTGCAAGCATCTGAAGCAAATGCCCGGTCAACTATAAAGCTGCTCCTTCGTCATTCCTTTCTCCCGGGACAAACGGAGAAAATTCATATGTTAATTTTTTATTTTATTAGAATTAATTCCGTAAAATGGTGTGTTTCGTACAATGACATTAAACAACATGATGTGCAACTCCGGCATTTTTGTCCGAAGATCGTATTCGATAGCACGCTCCAATGCACATACTTGACGAGACGAAAACGAGCGGATGTGTGCTGCTTTCAAGGCGTAGCACGAATGGTGTTCGTGCCTGCTTTGACAGTTGTTGTCGATTTTAATGATATTTTTGAAAGTTGGGGTAAAAAGAAATCGGTAAAAGGTAAGGTGAATAATATTGTTGTATATCACACCCGGGCATCGCACTGTTAAGTACATGTGGGAAAGCCAGCCTTTGTCAAATACTACGAAGTTATTAATTCAGTACGGTACGTAGTTGCCCATTTGCCGAAATTACATATTTACTTACCCCTTATGGTTTCAAATAGTTCATGCACCTCCAGTTAGATTTTTTAATCAGTGAGGATATATACTCATTGTTGATTGCTGCTCATTGTAACATACTATTACGCATTCACTTTTATTTGCGTATCAAATCAAAGTGTTAACAAGTTCACCTAACATTTCACTCATACCGGTCTATATTGTATAGTCTGATTTCTCAAGTATTTGGAGCCACGAATGCTTGTAATTTTCTGACTAAACCCTTTTATTAGTTGGTTTATATACCAAATTCAGTAAAATATTTTTTAAATAAAACATGAGATATTGGATTTATTAGCTTTTCCATTCTGAATCATATAGACTGCTTTATTTATTCTTAACGAAAATTAATAAATCTCCTCTCTTTCTTCAGATGTGAAAGTTGTGGACAAACCTGTCTAAGCATTGTGAGACTCTTGCAGCACAAGAGGCAATAGCAGAAATAGTAAGTATATCAATCAAGAAATTAAGCCGACATAAAGCAAAACTTTCAACTATTCGTCTAATCTCAATTTCCTATTATTTATTCACAGGGCAACTATAGCAGACGGGGAGATATCAGAAGTCTGGCGACATATCAGTGACAGTGTGATTCCAAGAAATATAATGCAATTGAAAATAGAAATTTGCAATAGAAAAACAACCTATGGAGGCATGCAAAGACATTTGACCCTCCGGTAGAGTTGTGTATGGCCCCCACATCCTGCAGGGCTTGAGGAAAATAACTAAAAATTCCAAAGCGTAAGATTGCATAAGCGGTCTTATTTGTAAAAAGGCACAAAACACGCCAGACATACTTAAAACAGCTTTGGAAATGAGGATTACGGGTACCTCACTGCACCTGTGTTATATTTGGTTCATCAACTTTTGGTAGTACTATAGAAGAAATTCCGGAAGGGGTATAATCATCATTCATGATAAAATACTATCATATATTTTTTGAACAACTCCAATCTAGACCAGGGATCTCAAACTCGCGGCCCCAGAGAACTTCCAGTGCGGCCCTCGAACGCTTAACGATAATTGTAATAGTATTTTGGAAGTTTTTTTTTTTATCTAAATGTAATAGATTTTTCAAACCTTCTAATGTGAAATTGATTATTCACACAGAAAACAATTTACTGAAAGTAGTTTTGGAATATTAATTTTTTTGTCCACATTTTGACCCAATTAAGAATACACATCAAGCTAGCAAAAGAATACTTGAATAAAACACTTGAGTAATTAAATTAAACGCAAAGTACATGAAGAAGGTGGCATTTTCGAAGAAAATGGGAGTTGCAACATTTCTGCTCTTCACAAAATTCTGAAGCACATTGTTTAATTTGTCATATTTCCATCAATACAATCAAAAAACACAATAAGCTCAGCAGTCAATATGACAAATTCGAAGACCAACTTCGAACAGAAAATTTCCATGTGTTTGTATATTAATATAATTATACAACGACTTAGTTACTGAAAATCAATATCAATAATAATTCAAGCAATCCTATGCCACGCAATGTAGTGCGAAATGTCTTGTCGAAAAAATCTGTCATTTGTTTTTTTACTGATCTATACATGAAATGATAAAAGTAACTTTTTTGCATTACTGGAATTAATTAAACATTCGTAAAGATCCAGATAAACCCATGATCATGTGGCCTCGTTAGTTAGAGTTGGTACTATAAAATCATTTCAGACTGGCCTTAGTATGATGGTGACACAAAAAAGATGCCAAACGCCAGGACAAATGTAATTATTAAAACATTGAGTTTATACTGTAGTATTTTTGTTAATTTTAGGTTCATATATTTAGATTAAGTTATTTTTAGTGTATGTATTATTCTTTCCTTATTCAAAGCTTGTTCAAAAATGATTTTGATGGTTGTACATAGAATTTTACGATTTTTTATAATAAATACTGTAACTTGCAAATGTTGCAATAATAGTGGAATGCAAATATTAATATGTAATTGCATTTGAAATTGAAGAAAATAATAAAACTTAATCCAACTGTTTAGTTGCATCACAATATATGTCACAAACTAAAACTATCTTAAAAATATCTTTTAAGTATACATTATCAAAAACTGTTTGCGGCTCTTTTTACAATTTTCAAAATGCAATGCGGCTCTCGAAAACCCATGAGTTTGACACCACTGATCTATTCTAGACGATTCAAGCATTGCTTTGGGAAATTATATCACTTCAATTAAATTGAAATAATCTCGCTATATTAAATACAAAATCGTTGCTATCATTAAGGTAAACCAATTCAGCCACTCGAAATATATTGGCCTTCACAAAGCAATGGAGGCAAAATTGAGAGTTCATGAGCTATGAACATTTGTTCTTTTCTTTGTCTTGAACTTTCCATACTCCACAGCCCCTATTAATTTTTTTTAATTTTAATTACCATGTGATGGTCATACATATCTTTAACTTGTATTTTCTGTCATGATGTATTATCTCAATGTGCCAAACTATTAATTAGTGTGCATATTTTGCTTCCAGATGACATAAATGTATTGTCATGTTTATTACCTCAGCTTGGAGTATTGACAAGAAAAAGGTGCCAGTAAATTAGGTAAAAAAATTTTCAACTCATTGTTATAATCAGAATTCACAATCAATAGGAATTATAAACAGCCAACAATCAGTGAGAATTATATGCGAAATCCCTCAGAATAAATTTGTCTAAAATCGGAGGAAGGCAAAAAATATAGGTAGTTTCCATCCACACAAGCATTTCAAGAAGACTTGCTCGAGCCAAACTAAATGAGCATCGTCAGGTGATCGGTAAGGCTGCAAGCTGAATTCAGCCCTGCAACCTCCTGCATAGAAGATAATATTAATTAGTGGGCTATGAGCTAAATTCCTAAATTTAAACAAACCTATCTACGATGCATTATGTACCAGCAATGTTACCTACGATTAACTGAATATGTAATATGTCTAATAAATTCACCTACAAAAGCAAGTTCGATAGGTGCAAACTTTGTGTTATGGAATTGTATCGCAGAACAGTTTTGTATGACACCCTCTTTAAATGAAATTTCAATGATTAAGCGCAAACATTAAAATTACTAACTTTGAACTTTGTCATTATCTGCAAAATGTTCCACACAAATCTTTCCGCTATCGCGTTTGTAATCTTCTCTGATAAAAAAAAAACGTCTATGATGTCCAGAATTGCTCTTTACAGCTTGCCTGTTATTCCAGCTTTCCAAGTAAGCAAAACTTCTTAGATATAGAGATTATTTTGTTTCGTTACAGGCGCAAAAAGGCAGGTACTACACGTAAAAAAGACGCCGAGTAGCAAAAGCGAGCGGAAAACGGACGCGAAAGGCGACGAGAAATATGTGCATTGGAGCGTATCACGAAATACAATGTTTTGCCTGTAGTCTTATGGAGTGACGTCAGAGTTGCCTATCATGTTGTTTAATGTCATTGGTTTCGTATGACGAAAATAAACAGAAAACGATAAAAATTAACGATGCGTGACAACAGAAATCCCCAACGTCACCAAAAACACGCGGTTTGCTGGGTTTCTGTCCAGTTGCATCATACTGTATTGGGGTAAAGTTTAAGGACAAGCAATTTAGTGTAAGCATGAGTCTATATTTACTCTACATTGCTGGTTTTCTGTTGCAATAAATCGTAAGAATATAGATCATTTGAGAGGAAAGTATCGAAAAATTGTATGGTGATAAAGTTTGTGGGCGTGCATTTTTATAGAATCATGATTAATTTTGTAATATCCTATTCTAATGTGCTTTGTTTGGTACCGGTAAATACTGTCGGTTTTATGTTGCAACATATCGTAAGAATATAGATTATTTGAAAGGGAAAATTTGTATTGTGGTATGGTTTGTGCGCATGCAGGCATGTATTTGTATGCAATCATGATTAATGTGCTACAGTGCTATGGATGAATGTTCAGATATTTGCTCTGTTTGGTAAATACTGTCGGTTTTCTGTTGCAATGAATCGTAAGAATATAGAATATTTAAAACAAAAGCTTTGAAAAATTGTATTGTAGTCACGTTTGTCTGTTTGTGGGGGCACGGTTTCACGGCTGGCAACACAAGTAGCCTAATTAATCTATGTTTGCTGTTTGGTATATAATATTTGTTTTCTGTTGCAATCGATTGTAAGAATATGCTGATATAGATTATTTGAAACAAAGCTTCAAAAAATTGTATTGTGGTAGCGTAAAGTTTGTGGGCATGTATTTTATGGAAGCATGAATGATTGGTCTACGTTTACTCTGTTTTGTAAAGCTTCGCTAGTTTTCTGGTAAAATTATTTGAAAAGAAAAGATTCGAAAAATTGTATTTTGCTCAAGTTTGTGGGCGTGTATTTTTATGACAGCATGAGCAATGAGTCTATGTTGAATTTGTTTGGTAAACACAGCAGGTTCTGTCAGTTTTCTGTTGCAATAGATCGTAAGACAGTAAGGGAATAGATTATTTGAAAGGAAATTCCCAAAAAAGTTTGTGGCGTGCATTTTTATGACGACATGAGTAATGAGTCTGTTTGCAGGTTTGGTAAATAATGATAGTTTTCTCTTGCAACATATTGTAAGATTATGAATAATTTGAACAAGAAAAACTTAAAACGATATAAAAGTATATAATACTGACAGACTGATAAAATACTTATACAAATCTGCAAATACAGAAATAGGCTATATAGATCTGTAGATATCGAAGTTTGGTAAATAGTTTTTATGTTTCATTAGGCATATTAAAAGTTTTTATGTTTCAATAGAGATTGTAAGATAATAAATATTTTAAAATAGGGAACTTTAAAAAGTTGAGGCATTCCACTGGTTTTGTTCCACTGTTGCGATGGATCTTCAGGCATCAAAGACATTAATTATTTGAACAAAAACTGCTTTAAAAGTTGAGGCCTCTCTTATTTCTATACATATCTCGAATGCAGAAACGGCTGACAGAGATATACCTGTATGCAGTCTGTGCATCATTATATTCTGTTTTTTTGCTAGTTTTTGGTGTGGCCTCAGGCTGGGAAATTTAACAACGACGCTCGTGGGTGACACTCAGACAGACACTCAATTGAAATGTAAAATGCATTTAATACAAAAAGTACACCGGTTTTCAACTTTTTTTTCTTTTGTTGGCCACTTTTGTAGCACAAAAACTCTGTAACCCATTCTTATGCAAGTGGAAAACTACAAGAAACCAAAAAAAAATCTTTTCGCATAAATAAGACACTTCCACTATAGCAATTAAAAACAGAATTACCATTCAGTATCAAAAACAGCTGTATCATTCATGGCTACTACAATCAAGGTTTAACTAATTTTTTAATATTTTGTGGCCTAGAAATGTGCCATGAGGAACCGGTGCTACTGTTTTACATTTAATTTATATGAAAATTTTTCATAAAAATATATGTTCACTTTATTCTGTCAAGCTTGTCCCTGTGGCGCTTTTTTGACGATCTTTTCTGCGGACTCTGTGCTCAGCTAGAAAGTTATGGTGTTATCATATCAAAAGCAATGTATGACGTTCTCTCTTGTTTATGTCTCATCATACTAATATTTATTTACAGACACCTTGCGTGTAATTTACATATTTATGTTAAAAGTTTTGCGAATAGTTAAGAGAATGTCATCTTCTGTTGATGGTCCTGTCGGAACAGGTGAAAAGCTAAGCAAGAATGAGATGAAGCGGAGGGCCAAGGCTGTTCAAAAAGCTGCTGAAAAAGAGGCCAAGGAGAAGGCTAAGCCTGCTGTTTCTGCAGCAGCAGCAGAGGCTAAGCCTAAAAAGGAAGCAGTTGATGAAGAAAGCCTGGATCCGAATCAGTATTTCAAAATGAGATGTAACAAGATTTTGGAAATGAGAAAGAATAATTTAGAACCGTATCCTCATAAGTTTCATGTCGGTATGTCCCTCACTGATTACATTGAAAAGTATGATTATGTGAAAGAGGGCGTGGTGGAGGAGGGGACCACTGTCAGTATCGCTGGACGAATCCACGCAAAAAGAGAGTCCGGACCAAAATTGATATTTTACGATGTGCGCGGTGAAGGTAAAAAGTTACAAGTTATGGCGAACGCTAAGTTTTATGAATCCGAAGAAGCTCATTATGAAATAAATGAGCGTACGAGGCGTGGGGATATCGTAGGGATCAGAGGTCATCCATCACGCACAAAGAAAGGTGAATTGAGTATTGTCCCAGTTCATTTGGAAATTCTTTCCCCTTGCTTGCATATGTTGCCACATTTGCATTACGGACTCAAGGACAAGGAGACACGGTACAGGCAGCGTTATCTTGATCTAATCATGAATGAGGACGTTCGCAAGAAATTCATCATCCGAGCTCAAATTATCTCGTATATTCGTTCGTTTTTTGACAACATGGGATTCTTGGAAGTCGAGACACCTATGATGAACATGATAGCTGGAGGTGCAACTGCAAAGCCTTTTGTTACACATCACAATGAGTTGAACATGGATTTATTCATGCGTGTCGCGCCAGAATTATATCTCAAAATGCTTGTAGTGGGTGGATTGGATAGAGTTTACGAAATTGGTCGATTATTCCGTAATGAGGGAATAGATATGACACACAATCCTGAATTTACGTCTTGTGAGTTTTATATGGCGTACGCAGATTACGAAGATCTCATAAAGATCTCGGAAGAACTTATTTCTGGTATGGTAAAGCATATTCACGGAAGTTATAAGGTTGTCTATCACCCTGATGGCCCTGACGGTGAGGCAGTGGAAGTTGACTATTCCCCACCATTTGCACGAATTCGAATGTTGCCGGATTTGGAAAAGGCTATTGGTATGAAACTGCCAGCCGCGACTGAATTACACTCAGAAAAAGCTGCAAAGCAATTGTCTGACATTTGCACCAAATTGGACGTGGATTGCCCACCACCTCGGACTGCTGCACGCTTATTGGACAAGCTTGTCGGTGATTATTTAGAAGTGCAATGTGTGAACCCAACATTTATAATAGAGCACCCACAGATTATGAGTCCGTTAGCAAAATGGCATCGCAGTGTCCCGGGATTAACAGAACGCTTCGAATTATTTGTAAACAAAAAGGAAATTTGTAATTCATACACAGAGTTAAATGACCCAATTGTGCAACGGGAGCGCTTTGCACAACAAGCAAGTGACAAAGCAGCGGGCGACGATGAGGCTCAGAGCGTTGATGAAAATTTCTGCACTGCTCTTGAATATGGTCTTCCACCGACCGGGGGCTGGGGAATGGGGATCGATCGATTTGCAATGTTCATGACGGATTCTAATAATATCAAAGAGGTGCTCCTATTTCCTGCCATGAAGCCTGAGGAAGGCGTGGACTCATCCGTCGCTGCGGGTGATAAGTTGGATGCAAAACAAGACGCAAAGAAATGATTTACATACCAACTAAATTACAGGGTTTCAAGACAATATGGCGAATGTTGACATTCACATAAATTTTTATTCGAAAATATTACAACAAAATAAGTATCAGACTGGCATCTACACATGAATCTATCAGAACAGCTTTTCCGGGTTTCCTGCGTCGAATATTCAAGTATCATTGGGAGATTTTGGTCGTGATGGTTTTTGCATGGAATACTTTGAATCAATGACAAGTCAAAACCAAATGAAGGATTTAGATTTTAGGTTTTAATACCAATTAGCTTGTGTAGGAATCGTTAGGTAGGAAATCCTCAACTTTCAATCGGCACATCAGTCCATATTTTTTAAACAACGCTTATTCACACTTTTTTCGTATTCAAAAATTCAAATGAATTGAAATTTGCTTTTGTAGGTTTCTAATCTCTCCCTATATAGTGTAACAATCTTCTAATTATTGGAAAGCTCACTTTGCAGTGTACATAGCAGTCACTTGAGCCTCAATGGGATCAAGTTTCCCTCAATACTGAGTAGGGTTGTTGTGACCTGTGCTAAAACCTTATGCCTGACACTTGTATCATACATTTTTCATTGTTTGCAAATCACAATTTCCATATTCGAAAACTACCTATCACTCGAATTTTTTTGAGCCATTTTCGCTTACGCTGAATTTCCAAATCTCTTAACATCTGTTTGATTGCTTTTGATTTTTTTTTGCTTTATTTTCTGCGTAAGGGAGCATTCAGGTTTTAAATGATCTTTAATTAGAGAGTATCTAAAGTTTTTCTGAGTTTAAGTTTTTGTTGGAAACTATTAGGTGTTAGAATAGATGTGTGTGTGTTTTAATATTGGAAGGTTTAATAAACCAGGGCTTCCAAACTGAAGTCCCGCAGAGGGTTGCGCAGCGGAATTTAGGAATGAAACTTTCTAACGTGAAATGTGGTCATGGGAAATTCATGTATTGGAAGGGGGCCGTGAGCTCAAAACCTTGGGAAGTTATGGTTTAAATAATTAGTTAAAACTGTCAAAAAATTAAATTTTCATAAAGAATTTTTGATTGAGAAATCAAAATCCCATCAAATCTTGTAATATTAACCCTATTTGTTCCAAATTTTTTGTTCTATTTTTAATTTGATTATCATTTCATTGGCTGTTCTGATCTTAATGAAGCAGCCATGGATATATACTAATTTTGAAAGTAGTACAATCCTTTTGGTTAGGCTTTATCGTATTCATTATCCTATCCTTCCTCCTATCCTATCCTTCCTCCACCATCAAGTCCATGCTTCAAAAAAACAAATAACTGAATAACTGGCTAACTAATCCCATACCTGACCTGGACTGATAACCGGACGAGAGGCCGTGGTTCGCCATGTCATAAAGCCGTCTTATCGGCTTTCTTCTCCCCCGGGATAAATATGTACGGTAAATCCTATCCTATACATTACACCGCTGGTGAAATAGACTGAGGCAAGACTTACATAATGACTCCATCAGTGCGATATTTTTCGTACCATCTTATCAATATCAGCATTACCAGGCTCATGTTAATATCCTGCACAGTACATTTCATAGTGTGATCCTTAAAACAGATCTATGAGTTTTTCAATTTTATGAAAATTTGTTTAATACTAGAATATCTGTTTGTGTATGATTGTAAAGTTTTAGTAAACTAGGATGCTTTGTACAAAAGTTATGTTCTAAGCTGAACAGTGGTTTTCTACTTTTTTGATTTGAGTAGAAGTCTAACAAAACATTCCTTAGGTTTGGGAAACCCTCTGCAACAATTGAATTGTCTTTTAGTGTCTGAATTGCATAAACTATTAATATGTAAATGAGATAGCGATCAGAGGCCGCCGACTTATCGGCGTGTATCCTTCGCTCTGATTCAATAGCGACACCATGTGTCCTATCACTAATTAATTAATAACTAGCTAATTATACGACATAATTCATCCAAAATCAATAGGCTTCTGGTCCGAGATTTGGTGAATGCACATGCGAAATTTGGAACAGATTCAACCTCGCTTTCTAGAGATATCGGGTAACATACGAAAGTGAATCAAACAAACAGACAAATACCTATCAACATACTTACCGATCATCGATTGGTAATAAATTGATCTTTAAAGTGGAGCAAGTTTAAAAGTAGTGGTGAACTTGATTTAATTCAATAAAATATTTGATTTTATTAAAACAATACACATATATTATTGATATTATCTCTTGGATTTTTAATGTATACTTGCAGAACCCCTGCCCTGTACTGGCGGAATCCTGGTTGAAAACAACTGCTCTAGAATATGTTCCAAATGACCTTGTTTCTTTTTTTTTTGATTCGCCGTGTATTTTTTCATTTTTATGTGAAATTATTTGGACTAATTCACATTCAATTAGTTGTTTGGGTACTCCCATAGTATGTGTACCAAGATGGCAGACACCAGAGCGTAGTATGTGTATGACATGTTAGGGTTAGACCATAATTTCACATACAAATACTACAGGAATCACTTGGCTAGTCCCTGAACTTGAAATAAAACTAAAAGAAGGAAAATTGGAATAAAATTATTGCTCAACCCTAACCTGTTACACATACTACCTATGTTCCTGTATCCTTCATCTTGGTTCACATACTACGGGAGTACCGTTGTTTGAATATTCCAGTTTTTGCTGCTTATGTGCATGTTGAAATTAACATTTTTGGAATATTGTAAATTTTGTGAAATGATGAAACTATTCTGCTGTTCTAGATGTAAAATAAAATTATGATACTAGCATGGGTAAAGGGCATAGGTCATATAATTTGACCATAACTGTAATTGTGTTTTTCGTGCTATGCTGTTTTCTGCTAGGGGGAGTAGAGAGCAATCGTGTCGTGAAGGTGAGTGTTAAATAATTCTTAGGTTCACGTCAGATATATATTTATAAATTTTGGGATTGTACTTTTGCTCTGAACAAGGTTGCCAAGCGATTGTTCGTTGATAATGCTAAGCAGTTCGCTTGTTACAGTAAGTTACTATTTATTCCCTTGTGTAATTTGTGTGCTAAACCAGGGTCGTAACCCAGAATATTCAAAAGGGGGGGGGGGGGCGTCTAAAATTTCTAATTGAAAAGTTGGAAGAAACAACCAGAGGGTCCGGTCCGGCTGGAAAATGGTGGATTTCAACAGATTGGGTGTCTTAAAAAGCATTATTTGTTTTCAGATGCATGTACTTGACGGTAGAGGAACTTGTAACCGGCCAGCGGTTATGTGAACCCCCCTACGGGGACGAGGAGTCCAGCAATCTTCTCACACATAATTTACCTCACATGGGATTCGAACATGCGAAGTGCGAACTTACGCAGGGTAATCAGAGGTGCGGTGGCGAGCGTTTTTCTAACACTTAGCAAGATGTGCCAGGCCCCAGAGTCTGAAATATAATTCTACTTTCCAATTAAGCATGTTACCAAGTTTATATATTCATCAAGAAGTGAAAATCTGTTTGAATTTTCGTTTTTCATATGAGAACTTCATTTACCAAAAGGTATCTTATTTTATATAGAATAACGCACCTGGACTCAATGGAGAAATTACACAACACATATTGCGCAAGAATACAGTGGGAGATGAAAATAAAAAGAAACAAACAAAAGGTACATAGTCTTCTACAATTGTATGCTAAGAGAGAGAAAAATCTATAAGGTAGGCTCAATCATATGGCAATCCATGGCCTCTGTGGTTCGGTTAATAGTCATGTTGGATATGGAATCAGTTTGTTTTACCATTTATTTGTTTTCGCTAGCATTGAACTGATGGTGGAGGAAGCCGTAACTGACCGACGGGTTACGTCAACCACCCTACGGGGCGGCGAGGAATCCAGCAATCCTCTTGTACATAACTATCCCCGCATGGTATACGCGTTAGGAATACAGCTGCAGTTCCCAATAGGGAACACAGTGGAATTGTGTGCTGCGAAAATTAATGGAATTTTGTTAAACATAACCAATATATGATTGAATAATTTACATATTGTATGCATTATAGATGTTTCATTGTTTCTTTTGTCGTTCACTTTCTGTTACGTAGTAACTGTCTCTATTTTTTGTGCAAGTGCACACAAGATTTTTCTTTGATAATTTGTCGGCGCACGAACAAAACTGACCTACGGGATTCAAACTTGTGAACCCACTAAAGCAGTGTTTCTCAACCTGTAGTACGCGCACCGCTAGTACGTGGGAGCTTTACAAGTGGTACGCGAGCAACCTGAATTATTGCAGCAATAAACTTTTGAGTTGGCTTAAATATGCCGGCAACTCTTCATACTGTATATATTCTTTCGACAGCGCACAACCTGATTACCCTAACCTGGTAAACATACTATGTTCAGGTTGTGCGTCATCTTGGTTCACATACTTCTTTCACCCTTATTCAATAAGGAAACTCACAAAATACTATTTTCAGGGAAGAAGGTCCAGCCCAACAGCAAATCTTCCAACCTATCGAGAGAAGCAAGAATACGAGCGATGGGACCAAACGGATTAACTGTGATTAAAAAGAATACTGAGAGTAAAATAAGAATGTTCCAGGGAAAGGTTGGTCGGCCTTTTACATTTGAGAATTTTCAAAATGATTCCCTAATAGTTTTTGTGACGTAATGTGATTACTCAAATCTTGTGTAGCGTGACAACTCTTTATTGTTGCGGCACACTGCATCTCATCTATTTGTCAGGCTTACCAGTTGTTGTACAGTCGTGTTAACTTGAAGACGTTTGTTTATGATCACTGTTTATGTTGTGCCACTGTTTTCGATAAATGGAGTTCTGTTGTAAACAAGTTTCTATTCTTAGCAGATTAAGCAATTAAGCAACAAAACATGGTGTCAGAAGTGGGATTTAAGCTACGTCTTCATTCATATTCCATTATGTATTTATTAGGCTTGTGAAGTATATGCTATCTTAACTCGAAGTGTTGATAGTCATTCTCTATCGGCCAACCAGTGATAACATGAACTACTGTCAAATGCGACTCCCGATTCTGTGTTATAATGTGTGACCTGTTCGCCATTCCCAATGAAGTGCCAGAGCCTGACCATAGTCGCTACATTTTTTAATTTTTTAGTTGAACCGCAGTAAAGATATAACAGAAACGGAAAAAGAATTCAAGTTTCATTTGTTGGAATTATTCATTGAGGAATTAACAGAAAGTGAGAGAGACATGTTGGAAGCTCAAGAAGGTGAGTAAAGACATGGTTTCTCCCAATTTAATGCAGGGAGAGAAAATATCACAAGGCGGCATAATTAATAAATGGTGAACCAATGACATTTTGTGACCATGTCATAGTAAAGCTAAAAAAGGTTTTTCTGTAATTGGACTGACAGATTGAATCAAATTTTTTTTTTTATCTCTGTTCAGTATCAGTAGCTGCCTGTTTAGAGTATAAACGTACCTAGGGACTCCATAAATAATCGTCAACCTCTCAACAGGCATTATAACACTAAAAGTTTGAGAACTCCAGAGATAGAAAGCAATACTTAATTAACAAACGGGCACCACGGTAGCACATTGGTACAGGTACAGTGAAGCCTCAGGATACCATGTTGCTGGAATACCAACGATACATAGGCGATCGTGCAACACAATAGTAAAAAATGTTTCCCTTAAATTACAATAAAACAGCAAATTTTTTGCCACATATTGGTCTTCATATGACTTGAAGGGAAATAGAGCAAAACAATAAAGCAGTAGTCGTCCTTTATCTGCTTCAACCATTGTTAACATACTGAATTTGCAATTGATTGGTCCAGTTATTCCAGAGAAAAAGTTTTTTTTACCAATAACAACAAGGAATCCTTTTGTTATTTTAGCATTGAAAAACTCTCTCTTGACTGATTTCCGTGATCCTGCAGTTCTAATGCAAAACAGTAAAATTAGACTCGATGCTCTGAGAATTGCAACATTGAAGGAAGAACAAAGTTATAACAGGTGTGTGACTGTGGTCGGGCATGTTCTACTATAGCGCAGCAGTCCTGAACTGCAGTTATACTTGTTAGGGGTGCATGTTGCACATCTGTGTTGGTACTCCTTGTAGTATGTGAACCAAGATGGCCGACACTGGAACGTAGTATTTGTACCAGGTCAGGGTTAGATCATAATTTTATTCAAATTTCCCTATTTTAGTTGTATTACGAGTTCGGGGACTAGCCAGGTGACTCCCGCCCTTAGTAATTGTACCTGAAATTATAGCATAACCCTAACCTGGTACACATACTACGCGCCAGTGTCCGCCATCTTGGTTCGCATGCTACAGGAGGACCTCTGTGTCTTGGGCAAATAAGGTCTTGAACATGTATCCCGGTGCTGTTATACTGTTTAATTATTATGCAGATACTGATATATTTTTGAGGCAACATAAAAAAAAACTGGCAGCCCAATTCAAAGTCAGCAAAGCTTTGGATAAAACAATGAGGCCCATAGAGCAAGGAAGTGCAGGAAATATAAATAATGGGGTTATATGAGTCCAAAGAAAATTTTAAAACAAGCTCCAGTAAGGTGCTCCTGAAGTATGTGCACCAAGATGTTGCATAAACCTGAACCCTAAGCTGGTACACATACTATGTTCAGGTTGTGCGCCATCTTTGTGCCCATACTTCCGGGGCAAAAGTAATTGTCCCATAGGAGACACCCTCATTTTTCAATATTGAAAATTTAAAAGCTATTGGTCTAGTACATGGGCGTGCATAGTTATTGGAACAGGGGCCAAAATTTTGCCCACCTAGACTGGCGGGCCATGTAAGTGTGATATAAAAAGTTTCGTTTTATGAACAATATTTACAACAATACTTACAAAAGCAAAAGTGGAAAACAATAAGCCTCGTGCCAAAACTAATTTATTTGTAATCTCAACAAATTCCTTGAGCTATTTTGAGCTGACACATCAAAATTTAGTTTTAGTTTGGTTGTGACAGCATCAGGCAGGCCAGATTCAATTACCCAAAGGCTGTAGTTTTCCCATGTCAGCTGTAGTATTTGATTATTTATCGAGTAGGGAAAAATATTTTCGTTTCATTTTAAGTTGGCATTAGCGGGCATTAGAGGATGTGGGTGATCTCTAAAGATAAGAATTGTTAGCGCTATAAGCATCGTTCAGCGAATACATATAGCATGAATCATTGTCGACATATTTTAGCCAACTCAAAAGTTAATTAATTCAATAAATTGGAGTTGTTCGCGTACCACTTAAACCCCAAAACCCCCCTCATACCATAGGTTGAGAACCACTGGTTTATTCAGTAGGAAAAAAAATATCCTCACATTTCACATTTCCCTTGATCTTTCCAGAATTAAGCATGTTGAAGAAGCAATGAAGCTTTACACTGAACATAGCAATGACTCCAAGTCAATGATGGATGAGTTTTTGAAAGAAATCGCCGATGCAGCAGATCAGCTTGAATTGGATATTGAAGATGTGATTTTGCCGATGGAGAATGCTGTGGTAGGTTTGGTTTGAATTTGTAGTTCTCCTGTTGAAAAAGATGTTACAACCTTGAGTATTTTCGTAGGTCGGTTCTTACCAACAGCATACTTTTTAAAATTTTGTCTGAAAATGGCAGCTACCAATAAAAGAATTACAGCTACGGTACTATTAAAAGCTTAATAATATTACTATTCAAGGCGTTTTTGTAACTTCGACTAAATACTTGAGAGGACATAAGTACCGCTTAGTAAGTTGATTAATATTTTAAATGTTGGTGTATGACTCTTTTATAATGCCCTAAAATGCCCATCCTCCCGACCGCAAGAGGCTCAAAGCCCCAAACGCATCTTATTGCAAAAATCTCAACAGTCAGTTACTTCACAAAGGACTCCACAAAGGAGTTAGTTGTAAAACCCTTTTTGAGATGCCAGGATTTAGAATTTTTAGGTATATTGTTTTAACAGGTAGATGGAGCACACATTGAAGCAGTAATTCACATGAAAGAGGGAGAAGAACACATACAGGACGCACACAATAATTCTGATATTGATTCCGAGGTAGAATATGATGAACGTTTGGACATGCTGGTGGACTCACAGAATAACAAATTTATACTAACAAGGTGGGCAAATAGAGACACTCAAGCCCAAGGTTCCCGCCAATGTTCCCTCTAATTTTTTGTAGTATGCGTGCGCAGAAGTTTTGGTATGTGCGCACTTTTGTTGGAAATGACTATTATTTGTGCAAAAACCAATGAAGAAATTTTGGCGTTCTAACCGGGTAATGGGTGGGCCAACAACAAACTTTCTCAGTCTGCTAACCGAGAACATTGTTACATTACATCGAAATACGTCTTTGCGCAGTGAATCTATGCGTGCGCGCAGCCTCTGAAAGCTGTGTGTGCGCGCACACGCGCACACTTTAGAGGGAACACTGGCTTCCCGCTATAGTGCATAACCAGGAGCGTAGCCATAGGGGTGGTTTTGGGGGTCGAAACCCCGCCAAAACCACCCCCAAGAAAGATGAGTTTTTGAACCCCCAAGGGGGTGGTTTTAAAACCCCGCCTTCCCCTGCCTTTTGAAATGTGAAGCATCTTTCTGCATCTTGCATAGCAATTTTTCGTGGCTCGAAATGCTTTTTAGACCCTTAGAACTCATGAAAACACACGTTTTCCGGCGTTCTGCCGTTAATTTTTATTTTAAAACGTAGTGCAGCTACGTCATCAATAAACGCCGACGTAAAGGTGTTTACGGCCTAAACAACTCGTTACGATGACAAAATCAATAGACAATTTTAGCAAAATGGAATATTAAGCGTTATTATCGACTTTTTCAGTCTTCCAAAAATGTAAAAGGGGGGATCGACCAGGAAAACTTTTCCTGGAGCTGATTTGAAACATAATGTTTGTCGCTTAAACTGATTTGATAGCAGGGGTTTGGGTTTTAAGGAAAATTAGGAAATTCAGATGTTTGATATTATGTTTGCTTCCTCTTTAAAAAAATATTCATGTACATCGAAATTGCCAAAACATATTTAACAGCAGATGGCACTCTAGTAATAACAAACCTGTGGTCTGGTACTCCAGTACTGCATTGGAGTGGCGGCATGTATACTTGACAACTTGTAGTATTATCATGTATTGCTGGTATGCAGTTTAGAAAATTGTAGGCAATAAATCTCTTATTAAAAGATACTCCTCTTCCTACATTGTCATTGCAATTTATTTTCTCCCTAGTGCAGAGTTCCATCGACCTTTGGCCATCAGCATTCCGAGGGAACACAAGTGGTTCTTTGGGGGTCACATGCAAAGATCTTCTCTAGTGACTACATTAATTTAAAATAAATTGACTGGTATTTGTTTGATTTTTTGACTGTCATACGTTTATTCTTCTGTTTTCGTTAGTTGGCTTTTTATTATTGGGCACTCCAGAAGTGTATGTGTACCAATGTGGAGGTAACTAATTTTGTTCGCCTATTTTACATCAAGTTGTGTAAAGGGACTAAAACCTAGAGGCAGGGGAATATTCACTTGGCTAACACAGACAGTCCCCAAATTTGTAATAAAACTAAAATGGGAAAAATTAAAATAAAATTAAGCCCTAACCCTAACCTGGTACACACATTATGGGAGTAGTTATTATTGAATGTGGTGAATAAAATAACCGATGTAAACGAGTTGAAAACAAAACTAGCCATTTTTTTTTGAAGAGCATTGGGCCAAAAAGGTTGATAGTCTTTGAAAGGGTTCGATGAATCACGAAAAATTGGAAACCACTGAACTAGTGGAACCCTGGTATCAAACTACAGTATATCCTTGCTTATAAGGCGACCAACTAAAATGGTGAATTTATAAAAATTTGCATATAAGCAGACCCTACCTACAAATCATAAGACAGTAAATGGTTGCGGAATAGAATTAACGAAAATGAAAACCATTACTATTATGTTTTTATTTTTATTAATAATGGTAAGGAGTGTCTCAAAATTCATTTTCACTAATACTGTCAAACCCTTTAGTGTGATCACTAATGATAGACTCATGCATGTATGGGCTGAATTTATAGTGTGATCAAGTCCTACACATGTAAGCTGAATTTTTAGTGCGGTCAGAGTTATGCGCTTATAAGCCGACCCCTTTGGCAACTCTTATTTTTACCTTCACACTCTGCTTATATACACGGTTATATGGTAATTGCTTATTCCCATACCAATCTTGTCCAGAGCCTTTGTTGGAGCAAAATGTTAACCAATGCACTATTTTATTTAAAGGCCTAAAGACATGACGTCACCGAACATTGATCATTATCTCATTCTTGACATTATAATGATTTATATTGCGTCATTCCCGTTTGGTTATATTTGTCAATTCTTTGGTGTGCCTTCGATATTTGGATACATTATGGCTGGACTGACACTGGGACCTTCTGGGTTAAACTGGATTCAAGCTTTGGTAAGGCGTATGTGAAATCTTTGTCATCGTAGGGTGATTCTTGTAACCCAGGGGTGGGCACGTTTTTGGATCAGGGGCCAAAAATTTTGCTCAACTAGACTGGCGGGCCATGTAAGTAAAGTTACATTTTATGAACAATGTTTAAAGTGTTACAAAAGCAACAGTGGAAAACAATATGCCTCGTGACAAAACTAAAGTTAACCATAATCTCATCAAATTCCTTGAGCTATTTTTAACTACTAAAACATCAAATTTAGTTCCAGTTTGATTATGGCAGCATCAGGCGGGCCAGAATAAATTACCTAGCGGGCCGGATTTGGCCTGTGGGCCGTACCTTGCCCATGTGTGTTGTAACCACTGGTCGGTTACAGCCTCTTCCACCATCAAGTCCATGCATTTGAGAACAAATAACTGGCTAACTAATCCCATACCTGACATGGAGCTGTAACCCGGATGAGAGGTAGCAGTATGCCATAGAATTAAGCTATCTTATCAGCTTTCTTCTCCCAACCCCCCCCCGGATAAATATAAAAATACCATTCTATGATTGAGTCGCATTGTCAGCATTTTTTTTGCATTTTCACTCTGAAAAGAGATTTATATAGGCAGCCACTGATGAGGACTGGAATTTATTTGGTTCAGCATTGCATACTGTTTATTTAAACCCTAGGTCAGTTTCCCAACCTATGGGTGGGTCGCTTGTCTCTTCAAAGAAAACCTAAAAGTCACTAATTCTATTGTCTAATAAATTTTATTGATTATTTTATATTCAGTATTGAAGTGTTGCTCTATAGTAATTGCATGTGTGGGTAATATTACTGCGTAAAAACTTGGCAGTATTTATTTTGTTTGAGTAAAATTACCACAGTTTTAAAAACTCGCTGACGGCAAACACACGCTTTGTCATCTTGAAGTAATTTCTGGGGGAACAAATGGGGGGGACTTGAGGTTTTTGACCTGTGACAACATAATAACATTCATTACTTCATAATACATCACACCCACTCATTTCATTGGCCAACATCAGATTTTTCACAGAATTTTATAATCATATTGTCCGCCTTGAATAATTAGTTTTTAATTAATGTTCATTTTAATTACTTGTTTTAAACGATTACTTGGTTCAGTTTATCATTAATTACATTGTGGTGGCTTTTCAATTTTTACAACTTCGAAACTGTCCAAAATGCTCAATAAAAATGGTTGTCATATAATTACGAACATTTTACAACTTTCATTTCCCGTAGATAAACATTGAAATTCATATTCTGCAGGTTCAAGTTGAATCCTTTGGGGAATTTGGAGTTTTCATGATCATGTTCTTTGCTGGCCTTGAATTTTCTTTGGAAAAAGTCAAGAAAGTCTGGAAGGTTTCTGTGCAAGCTTCTGTGCTAATCAATGTGATAATGATAATATGTGGTATGTGAATATACTTATTTTGAATTTGGAATATACTATAGATTGTAAATATCTTATATATCATCACAACCCGGATAAAAGTCGTGTTCCTAACCTTGTATAATGTTAACGCAACAATATTCGACAACAATTTAAAGTAATGGATAAAAATTTAAACACTGCATACAGTTGACTGTATTTTGATTTTAATCACGGTATTGTTCTGAACGCCGACCAAAGATAATGGGTGCCTTGGGCACACAAAATTTTCCGATTTTGAGTGCCTAGAGATGCGTTTTAATCTGTCGCGGCCTCCTACAACAAAACTGTTTATATTGCTGCGATTGAATCAAAAAATTTGCATCATTGATTCACTCCTTTATTTGTTTTTAACATCTTGCTGCCGATGATTGTATGATAACGCGGAATAACAATTCTGTTAAGAGCACACAAATAAAGTAATTATTACCGCTATGGTGGCACAAATTTGTGATTTTGGGAGAATAAACACCAACGTAAAGGTGCTTACGGGTGCCTAAATGACAAGTCACGCTGACGAAAACAATTGGCGATTTTAACAAAATGCAATTGCACACGTTATTGGCGATTTTTTCAGTTTATTGAAAATTTCAAAATGGGGGGGCACTGAACTATTCTCATACCTGACATGGACTGGTAACCGGGCGAGAGGCCGTGATTGGCCATATGATTAAGCCGTCTTATTAACTTTCCTCTCCCGGGTTTAGACTGATAACTTGTCTTTATTTTCTTCAGGTCTGATCATCGGTTCTCTACTGAACTACAATATTCCTAAAGGAGAAAGTGCATTTATTGCTGTTTGTATGTCAATGTCCAGCACTCCTCTTGTTGTCAGATTCCTACAGGGTGAGATTTCATTTGTTTTTTGGAGGGTGGGTTGGATATCAAACAAGGGTTATGTCGCTGTTAACATAGTTACCCTTTTCCGAGCATAAATTTTTGTTCACAATTTTTTCACCAGCTCTACAAATACTATATTCACAAGATGTCATTAGAGAGTACTATGGTGGTGCTTTCTTTTTTACTTCCTCATCCATGACCAATCAGAAACAATTCAACCACAATGCGACGATGTGTGGGCTTTAATAACTCTGGAAACTTAATAATAATAACTTGATTGAATTATCGGTTTCCATAGGTCTTAGAGGAAAAACAAGTAAGAGTGATATGACAAAAACACCAAAGTAATAGCGACTCCTAACGACTTCTTTCATTTGTAAGGAATATTTGAAATCGATTGGCCTTTAGTTGCGGAGAAAATCTTTTTTTTTAACATTAATATTACTAACTACAAAAACCCCAGTAAGAACAACAAGTACCACTTTGGGCCAAATAAACAATCTGAGTACTGATTCGTTAGCAAATTCATTTAGCAAAACCTCCATAGGTCCACTTCATGCCCAAATCCAACTTGAGTATTAAATTCACTCTTTTTCTTGTTCTAGATTCCTCAGCCCATGAAGCAGTTGATTATTCGTCCATGCCTATTAGCTATGTTGGTTATGCCAAGATGTTCAACTTGGTATAATTGTGGCAACACTCGCCTGCTTTGCACCTACGTCAAGTCCTGGGGGTATGTTTCATACTTTTTTTTAATGCTTATTTGGGTACTCCCGGAGTATTGTAAACCAAAATGGCGACACCAGAAGGGAGTATATTTATCAGGTAGGGTTAGGCCATAATTTATCCGATTTTCCTTATCTTAGTTCCTATTACAAGTTCGGGAACTAGCCCGAAGTGACTCCCGTAAGTATTTGTACCTGAAATCATGGCCTAACCCCAACACATACAACTTTCCGGTGTCCGCCATATTGGTTCAACTACTTTGGGGGCACTCTTATTTGCTCCTCTCTGAACAAGGCTCTGTGTAAGCAGCCATCGGTATATAGAAGGATTTAGGTTTTATGAGAATCTACGCAAGCAAAGGTGCTGTGCATCCACTCAGAAGTGAAGGAAACTTTTTGAGGCAGAATATCAGGTGATCACTAGAATGCCAAGAGCCGCTGAAACCAGGAATGCCCCAAAACGGACTGAATATTTGAACACATTCGAATTGCTGTGAAAGGTCACGTCATCTGCTCATGACTTGCAATTAAAAGTGCTAAGCCCATCGAAGCCCTTGATATAGGTGATGAATCGTGCTTTCTTGATTACTCGCGAGGTATAAGGTCTGGTTACTTTTCTGTGAGGAAATTTTCTTAATAACAAGCGCTCGTACTCAAAAATAAAGAGGATTAATCTTTGAACATTGTCATTGGCGGCCACTAAAGTGTAAGAGCTAGCAGGATTATGACGGATTATGATGTGAAACTGTAAGTTAGTAAATGTAGATTAACACAGGGCTTGAAACAGTTCATACCAAAATGATTTAGAAAGCAAATTTTGCAGTATTCTGTCATTTTCCACACTGTCGGCATTTTTTAAACTTCGTATTCTTTGATCTGAATGCGCTTTTTAATAGCTGAAATTATTTTTGTTTCAATTGCTTTGTTAACTGTTCAATCAAAGTATAATTATTCTCAGCCTGTAGAACTGATAACAATGGGACGTAACTTGGAAATTTTGAAGAAGGGGCTTCTGAAATTTCCAATTGCAAGGTAGAGTGTATCAGCTAACATGTACTGGCCGTGGGTTCCAAAAAGTCGTGAGGGTCTAAAAGCGTTTCAGCTATGTATGATACAGAAAAATATCTTTTTTTTCATTTCAGAGGGGGGAGGAGTTCTCGACCCTCGTACCCTATCTATACCCATGCTGGTTTTCAAAAGTCTTCGGACTCCAAAAAATGTATGATACAGAATAATGTATTTTTTCACAATTCAAAAGGGCTTCCCTCACCATCCAGCCATCAATACGGTTCGGTTAGGGATGCAAATATCATTTTCCAGTGTTGATTTTTGTCAGTGTATTTCTTATTCAGTTTGCGCTGTCTAATAATGAATTTTTTTGTTACAGCGTCACCAATGCAATTATGTACACCACTGTGACATTGCTTCGTACGATTGGTTCTCTTGCACTTGTTATTTTTATATTGATTTTACTGACGAAATATTTTGTACCGAAGTTTTTAAATTTTGTTTCAAATCAAACAAAGGAAATTCAACTCTTAGGAGCTGTGAGTATGATTTTTTATTGAGAGATTTGTTGACACGTTCCGCATAAAAAACATAACTGGAGTGTGCAACAGGTGGCATTTATAGTCACTGACACTCACTGTCAACACTTTCACCATCAAGCATAAAATCATCATCCAAAATTTGTTTAAAAAAGGTGCTCACATGGTAAAAATACATGTTTTCGCGTTTTGTCGATGCGTTAAGTCTTTGCTTTACTGTATACTTTCCTTGTATACATTAAAAACATTTTTTGTGTGGCTTATCTAGATTCCGGAATTTGGCTATGTTGCACACTCCGAAGTATAACATTCTTCAACGAACGCAATCCTCGGCGGCGTGGTGCATCGGAATAACGCTCGCCACCGCATCTCTGATTACCCCTGCGTGGGTTTCGCACGTTCGGAAATCCATGCAGGGATGGTTATAGTGCGAGAGGATTGTTGGATTCCTCGCCGCCGTGGTGTGGTCCACGTAATCGCTGGTCTGTTACGGCTTCCTCCCCTTATCAAGTCATTGCTTCCGAAAACAAATAACTGGCTAACTAACTAATCCCATACCTGACATGGACTGGTAACCGAACGAGAGGCTGTTGTTTGCCATATATGATTAAGCTGTATTATCGGCTTTTCTTCCCACAGGATAACTATGTAATCCTATCCTTATTTCTACACAGCTGATGTTTATGTTCCTTTTTCAACTTTCAACAAATCAAATTGGGATTTCCACAGAGCTTGGATGTTTTCTTGCAGGATTTCTCATCAGCATTTCAAACTATCATTCGGTAAGCTTTGATTGGATGGGGGTTGGGGAAGGAGATTCATCAAAATAGAGCATAATGTTAAAATATGATGACTCGTGGGGTTCCATTACCCAAAAAGACTGAAAGCCACTGCCTTACCCAACTTTGAGACTAGAAAAAGAATGATTAAACTTGTTATTGTGCCATCTAATCAACTTTCTGCTCGAATATCTGAAATACCCTTATTTTAAATAAGTGGTTCTCAAACGATGGGGTGCGCCCCACATGGGAGCATAGATAGATTTTGAGGGGGTGTGAAGCTCAATAATATATTTTTTTAGATTTGTTATCGTGCCTGCCTTATTTACATTTCTTTGTTGTTTTGAGATTGCAATTCCATCCACGTATTTTCAAAGTGTTTTTGAATAAAATATACTTTCGCCTTACTATCTGTTATTTGTAGCTTATTGTAAGCCAGTTATTTTGAGGTGGGCGCGAAGACTTGACAAATCCTGAAAAGGGGGTGTTGGCTTATAACGTTTGTTAACCACTGATCCATACTACTAACCTAAACTATTATTTTAATTGATTGTGTTTCATTTACCAGGTGTTTGAGAAGATCATGTCACCAATCCACGATTTGTTCGTCATTTTATTCTTTGCCACTGTCGGTTTTCATGTTTTCCCGAAATTTGTCGTTGTGGAAATAACGTACTTGGTGTGGCTGACTGCTGCTGTGATTGGGGGTATGTAAGATTAAATCTTTTTTTAGAAAAAATGGTATTCTCGAAGTATTTGAACTAAGATGGCGGATACCCGATCGTAGTATGTGTACCAGGTTAGGGTTAGGCCATAATTTCAGTTACAAATACTACGGGAGTCACTTGGCTAGTCCCCGAACTCGTAAAAGAACTAAAATTGGAATAAAATTGTGGTACACATACTAAGTTCCGATGTCCGCCATATCGGCTTACATACTTCGGGACTACCTGAAAACAATATATAATTTCATTCCAGGAAAAATGCCAGGTTCTGAAAGAACCTGTGGGCTTTTTTTAGGTGGACATGTATATGGCGCTAAAATTGAACCCTTTTAGTGTATAGATTATAGATTTATATAGATAGGCCTGGCCTGACCGAACCCCACCCCCCAAAGTACACCATTTCACAACAAAAATGAGATTGTAGACAAGACATAGGCAAATATATCGGCAAGGGTGTATGCCAGGATTTTTACAGAGGGGCTTCTGAAATTTGTAATTGCCAAGTTAAGCCGTAATAACTAGCGGTCTAAAAAGCTTTTCAAGCTACGAAAATTGCTATATATGATACAGAAATATATTTTTATTTTGGCATTTTAATATGAGGGGTCCGACCCTTAGTTTGCAACCGTCTCCTTCCCCCTCGGCTATGCCAATATACACTGGTATTTACTTAACTTTTATGATTTGTTGGGGGGGTTCCGATTCTCAACTCCCAGGCTATGCCTGTGCGTACCGGTGGTTCTCAAACTTTCATAATCGGCCCTCAAACTTGCAGCTTCCTGATCTTCTATAGATATCCTGTTTTGCTTTCAATATATTTTCAACAGTCTTTTAATGTACTACTTTGAAGGAAAAGAAGCCAACAAATAAAAGCAAAAAAAATTGGTCAATTAATTGAATAAATGACAGGTCAAAGTCTAGTGCACTTTGAAGTAAATACCTGAATAATTCTTAACAATTTCTTTGCAGGCAAATACCTGATCGCTTTGCTTGTTTTACATTTCACACTTCCGCGCAAACAACGCCAAATGAAATGGTTGATAGCTGGAGGCCTGGCACAAGTTTCGGAATTTGCATTTGTCCTCGGGAGCGAGCTAGGCACTTGAAGATTGTAACTAGGGAGAGTCAGTGTTAATTCTTATCGATTTTAATCGGTAAGTATGTTTGATAGGTATTTGTCTGTTTGTCTGTTAGATGCACGCGATATTCTCACGAAAGCGAGATTGATCAGCTCCAGATTTTGCACGTGCTTCATCATATGTTCGGACCAGAGCCTATTGATTTGGATGAATTATGTCGTATAATTAGCGGTTATTGACAGTTAGTTGATGGGACACAAGGTGTCACTATGGGTAAGAGCGCTGTTTTGGGGGATCCCTTAACTTTCAATCGATAAGTCTTCGGTCTTTGACCGATATTCTCGTTTTTATATTGGTGGGACCATTAGCGTACCCCCACTTCAGGATCGTTCTTGAACCCTAAAATGGGGTATTTTAGTCTGGTGCTTTAGCCTCAGTGTTGACATTGAAGTTTACACATCTCAGCTCGACTCCTTTGCCCACCACCTACCTCACCCAGTATGTAATAAATTAGGGAAAGTAGGATGTAGAAAAATTTTCGTCATTCCAGAAATATTAGATTTCTTGAATTCATAATATTATATCCTCCAAGATATCAGGGATGCTGGTACACGGCCTTGCTCATAGCGGCAAAGCATTGTACAATAAAACTATTGCAGCCTGTGATCCAATCACAGTAACAATTTAATATGGCCCGTCGAACTGAAGTGAAATAGTTTAACTTCATGTTTTAGATACTGCCAAATGTTACGTTATCATCGCGGTTTTAGCATGTGTGTATATGTAACAATTCAGTTTGTATCTCAATTATATGTACCGGTATCGGTCCCTTGTGGGCACTGCCCTCTCCCGGCCGTGAATATCTTTCCGCTTCTAATTTTTGCCCCTGATCAATCAACTTTGGGAATCACTGCTCTAAGACAGGGCTACTCGACTGGCGGACCGCGGTCCGAATCCGGACCTTTCGAGCATTGGATTTGGACCGCACCTAATTATTTATTTTGGATCATTAGCCCCACTTTTTGAATTTCCTATTATAAAATGACTTTCATAGTTTTGAATATATACGAAAAGAACTATAACACCATAATAAACAATTTTAATTTGCTACTAATCATTAGTCGGTCGAGGAAGTGCTCTTTTAAGGATGCTGAAATATCATTTCTGGAAAGACCGGACCCAATTAATTTTGAAGTTTTGTTTGCGGATCTTCAGTAAAAATAGTTGAGTAGCCCTGCTCTAAGATATCAGTGAGTTGTATATGACCATGCTTATTAGAGTGTAAGGCGCAAATACGAAAACGATAAATTTTATTTTTAGGTATTTCTTCTGATTCTGAGCACCACAACATTGAGTTTAATCTTCGCTCCTGTGATGTGGAAACTATCCCTGCGGAAGTTTCAGAAAACGATGCATATTACATAGAGTTCTAAAAAATTTTGCTGTCACCGCAGGAAATCTCGCTTCAGGAAATTTCTCAGCAAAGGGGAAATTGCCTTTAGTTAAAAAAGATTCGTTATTTAATAAGAGCATACCTTAACCCTATAAATCTAACTGTTTTTTATTACAAATACTTGTTCGACAGCAAAATGCTAATGAGATTTTTCTTCTATGACGTGATTTCGTCCGGTGAGATTTAGTGTGTAGATTTCCTACGGTGAAATTTCCTGCGGCACATATTCCAGACACGATTACATAGTGTCATTGTGGCTTGATACTGGATCAACTGTTATGAGAATATTGCAATATCGTATTTTCATTGGTGAGATTCAGTCTGCACAACCCCAGTCAATAGTCTGTATTTTATTACTTATCGATTTTAATCGGTAAGTATGTTGATAGGTATTTGTCTGTCTGTATGTCTGTTAGATGCACGCGATATCTCACGAAAGCGAGATTGAATCTGCTTCAGATTTTGCATGTGCATTCATCTTATCTCGGACCAGAAGCCTATTGATTTTGGGCGAATTATGTCGTATAATTAGCGAGTTATTAATTAATTATTGATGGGACACAAGGTGTCACTATGGAGTGAGAGCGCTGTTTTAGGGGATCCCCTAACTTTCGATCGATAAGTCTTCGAGACTGATATTCTCGTTTTACACTTGCTTAAAATACACATTGTACGTACAGAATGTGGAAAGATGAAAAAATGCGTTTCCCTGTTCTAGAAATATCGTTATAATCATCTAACAGGTTCTTGTTCAAGACATTGGACCAGGGTTTCAAAACTTTGGGCCCCCGGACTCCTGTTTGTGAATCTTAGATCTGACGGACCTCTCTCTCGGGCCTTTTCATACTCTGCCCAACCTACTGTCGATAATTTTCACCTTTCCTCTCCCACAGAACAAAATTTATGTGAAAAAAACGGTACTCTCAAAGTATGTGAACCAAGATGGCGGACTCCAGAATGTAGTATGTGTACCAGGTTAGGCCATAATTTTATTCCAATTTCCCTTATTTTAGTTCTTTTAAAAGTTCGGGGATTAGTTAAGTGACTAGAGTGGTATGTAGCCTACGTGAAATTATGGCCTAAGTCCGCCATCTTGGTTCACATACTTCGGGAGTATCAAAAATCCTATCCTGCCTGATTTATGATTTTCTTTTTGTTCCTACATCCCAACAGGGACTGGTATCTGGATGAGATGGCCGTGACACACCATATGATTAGGATATTTTATTGACTTTCCTCTTTCTCAGGATAAATATGAAATACCTATCCCTGCCCATCTCTCGTGAACCCAAACTAATGTTTGTTTCATAACATAAATTCAAACGCTGTAATGACACACCATTTTCATATTTTTATTACTCTATTATGTAGCAAAATAGAAAGAAAAATTGTTAGATTTCTGCCGTGTATGTTATTCAAACTTTTTAGAGCTGCTTCTTATATTATGCCCTGCACACTGTATTGCTTTATATTTTCATATGCATTTGTAGTCGAAAATAATAAAGGTGGCTTATTTTGCCGTCACATGCAGTAAGTTCGGTTATATACATGAGTGATAAAAATGTCTGAGGACTTACTTTAAACACAACGGGGTAGTGTTTAAAGAGGGGGGTAGTGGCTGTGACTTGTGGGAACTGGCTGTCCTGACCTATCACTTTACAAATCTTGTGTCCAACACTCAGGGGTATTTTGGGGAGGGCCTACATCGTTGTAGTTTGATCTTGTACATGTGAGTTTGTAGCTTAGTTTGGTGATACAATTAATAATACTAACATTTTACTTTTCATTTATTTATTCTCATGTATGCCAACATCTATAATTTGCTACCTCAAAAATGATTTTGAAGTTGGGTATAAGAGGCATCATTATCAGAAACTCGCCCCAGGCAGCAGAAAAGTTTGGCACACCCCTGCTATCACACTCAAACAACTAATGAAGGTTCCAACCATGCACAGAGCTAAAGTGCTTTGTTTGAACATTGCCGGACGGGTGGGGGGTTCTAGTACTGAATAAAGTTGGTTTCCACGTTTAAATGGCTGTTTGTTCTTCTTTTATCTTCAAGCAAACTAATAACTAACCTATTTTATTTCTGACATATGGAAGACAATGTTTTTCTTAACCAGGTGTCGCAATCAAAAGTTTGGGCGCTCCAGACGTATGTGTACCAATATGGAGGTAACTACTTTTGTTGGCATACTTTACATCAAGTTGTGTAAGGACTGAAGCCTATGGGCACAGGTTATATTCAATTGACTATAACACAGATAGTCCCCGAACTTGCAATAGAACTAAAATAGGAAAATTGGAATGAAATTATGGCCTAAGTCTAACTTGGTCCAGATTCCACGGGAGTACCAAATTGGGTAACCACCCCTTAACCACAGACCAGTTATTATCGGCTTTTATCCCTCCGCGATCAATATACCCATCTTATTCTGGTACATCAGTGTTCTTATTCTGCTTAGGGTAGCAATAGATAAATGAGTCTGATACCTGACCTTTGATAGAATCAACATAAAGCAAACTGGTTAGTAATCATGTTTATTTCAGATATATACAATCATGGTAAAAGAAAATTATTCGGTGACAAAAAGTATTACGTACAGTGTACACTGTTCAAAAAGAGAATGTCTAAATCAAATATACATATTATAACGTATTTTCTTATTGGGACACAAACTAATACGATACCCATACACGGACACTGGTTTAATAAAAGGGTGTCGTCATCACGAATGCATATTAGAACTTTTTTTTCCTAGACGTAAACTTTCAAAATGCCAAATATAACGCTCGTTGTCGATTGCGGTATTTGCTGCGCCTGTTCAAACACTAAAGCAAGGACGAGTTTACTACTGTCTCGAGATTTCAAGAACGGGCTCGCTAATATTACGATATTTCAAGCACGAGTTCGCTGATATCACGATATTTTAAGAACAGGTTCGCTAATTAGAACAATATTTCAATATCGGGTTGCGCTTTTAACGAGCAATATTTCAAGGAGGGATTCGCTAATTATCACTATGTTTTAAGAACGGGCTCGTTGATATCACGATATTTCAAGAACAGGTTCGCTTATATGACGAGATTAAAAGATTGGGTGCGCTAATATCAAAAGATTTCAAGAACAGGTTCGCTAATATGACGAGATTAAAAGATTGGGTGCGCTAATATCAAAAGATTTCAAGAACAGGTTCGCCAATATGACGAGATTAAAAGATTGGGTGCGCTAATATCAAAAGATTTCAAGAACAGGTTTGCTAATATCACGATATTTCAAGGGCTGGTTTGCCAATATCACGAGATTTCAAGAACAGGTTCGCTAATATCACGCGGTTTCGAGATCGGGTTCGCTAATTTCACGAGTTTTCAAGAACGGGTTCGCTATTATCAAGAGATTCCAAGAACAGGTTTGCTAATATCGCAAGATTTCGAGAATGGGTTCGGTAATATCTCGAGATTTCAAGAACAATTCCGCTAATAGCACGATGTTTTAACAGAACGGGTTCGTTAATATCATGAGATTTCAAGAATGGGTTCGCTAATATCTCGAGATTTCAAGAACAGTTTTGCTGATATCACGTTATTTAAAGAACGGGTTCGCTAATACCACAATATTTAAAACAGGTTTGCTAATATCACAATATTTCAAGAATAAATTCGCTAACATCACAAAATTTTAAGAACGGGTACGCTAATTCCGCGAGATTTCAAGAACAGGTTCGCTAATAGCACAATATTTTAGGGTCGGGATCGCTAATATCACGAGCTAACTTTACAAAATTTTAAAAACAGATACGCTAATATCACGATATTTAAAGAACGGGTTCGCTGATATCACAATATTTCAAGTATAAATTCGCTAATATCACGATATTTCAAGAACGGGTTCGCTATCATATCACGAGATTATAAGAACAAGTGCGCTAATAACACAAGATTTCAAGAACAGGTTCGCTAATATCACCTCATGAATCTCATCATTTGCTTATACATTATAATGGTTGCGGATTTAATTATCTTCTTGTTGACAGTTGAGTTTGATGAGATATAAGTTTAATACCCATCCATCTTGGTTAAATATCGTTTAATGTTAATTATGATTTATGCATTATCAGTCCCCTAAATGTGAAATTATGGTTCGATCTCGCATAAATATTTATTTTTTTCGTTACAATCTTCATCGTTCAGCCTCCAATTATAGCCAGGACCCATCTCAACGCAATCTTGATCACCATCGTTGTCAGGTTGACGATAATACCATAGAATACCCCTTGTCGGCATACCATCTTCCCAAATAAACTTGTTTTCCTCTCCAATGTCGTTCAAACCAATCCAAGTGTCGGAATTTCCAGTCCTGAGCAAGTTGAATACGAGTTCTCTGCAAAAAAAATAACTTATTTTGCAATCACAACATTCATGACAATTCAAAGTTTGGCTGAGCACGCTCAGAGTTTAGACTTAGGAATGGCAAATACCGAAATAATTTTTGCTTAATATTTGAGCCCTCATTCCATTAATCAACTGCAGCGAGCACATAACTATAGTTACCGTGTATTTTAATATTTTTTACCACGTATTGTTAATATTGCATGTTATTTGCCTGAAACAAGGTAGTTGCCCAATTCATTTCTTCTATGATATCTTTCAAGTATTGCTTGTCTTTATCGTTCTTTATTAGTTATAAATTTGGTTTAATCGCATATACTTTCGACAAGGGTTTAAAGTAGGCTTACCATACGTCCCGGTTTTAGCATGTTTTTCCAGCGTCCCGGCGATAGACTAGATTGTCCCGGTTTTGCAGTATGATAGTCATAAATAATTTTTCTATTTGATACTACTATTACAAAATTGATTTTTTTCAATGGAGGCAGCCGATTTACCACTGATTTGCGTCTCACTTCATTGGTTCAGATAGAGAGAATATTTTTTTTATGTCATAGTCATATGACAGGAAGTATGGACCATACGTTAATTTAACACCCAACTGTACTGTCGTTGAAGCATCAAAATGCCGTAAACAAAGTGCAAGTTTTCTAATGAGTTGAACAATTTCCATTATTTGAAGCGAAGGCAAATAGAGGATATTTTAATAGTAATTACAGCTAATTTTGATACCCGTAATCTACCCACAATGGTATGGGAAATTTGTAAACTGTTACTAAGCCCCTAGAATCGAACCAATGTTGGCTTGTCCAATCCGCGCCGTCCCGTTTTTTTGCTTCAGAAATATGGTAAGCCTAGTTTAAAGTGTAATTCGTTATCTGTTATTTGGATTCAATTCGATTGTGCAACTTTACAATATACGAACATTTGGCATTACAATATATTGTGTGCTTATGAACTCCTGAAGGAGAGCAGGGCGGAGGTACAGTCTATCAAACGTGTGTTAATCAAATAACAAGTGAGTATGAACGGACAGATCACCCCCTTTACAACTTCCGACCCTTAGTTATGTTTAATGAATTTGTATACAAGACGTCCACTTTCCGCCATGTTGAGCTGCGCGATTAGTTAGACTAGCAGGAAAGCAAGTTTGGTCGAGTTTTGGCTATCTGCTAACAAATACTATTCAATCATCGGTGCAAAAACCATCGTTGTAATCTAGCTACATCTCCGTGGCTCTGTGAACACAGATTTTCTGTCATTGCTGATTAATTAGAAGCAAAAAAGGAAGCGGAATCTCGTTTCAATCGTTTCTCAGAACAGGCACACATATCGATAGCATTAACATTTGCAGAATAAATTTTTTAAAGCCAACTTTTTTTACAAGTGTGCACAGGCAAAGTGGGCCGCGAGCAAAAATAAGTGTGAGAACCACTGGTTTATATGAAAATTAAGCAACACTTGTTTAGATAATTCTATGAATATATCGGATTTCGGCCATGAGTCCCTTATTAATCCCAACAATCCAAATTACCTGCGAACGCTTTCATCTCGAATTCCTGCCGATGCCAGTAGGCCACCGTGTAACTTACAAGTTGCCTTCGCCTCTGCCTGGGTGGCATTTTCGTCAAATAGTTTGTAGTAATAGTAATTCCGCGCTTGAAACCAATCGGTAATCCCTTCTATATCTGCTTCTGTCGAGAACATTTCCAGATGCTCTGGTTCTTGCTGCATTACTGTGAAGTGAAATTAAAAAAATCGGAGTAAATTATTTGCATAGGAAGCTTAGAGATAGGGCTGGGCATTTCGAATCGAATATTAAATTATTCAAATCGGATCAGCGCAAAATTTCAAATCGCCGCCAATTTTTTTTTTATTTCCGCCAATCTTTTCCGTAGCGAGATATTGATGAAAACGTGGTTTTTATTGTGTGTGCACGCTCAGCAATCTGCCTGAGTGATGTATTCTCTGTTTTCAGTAATTTTTGTGTCTGAAGGATCTATTACAACAAGAAAGTTACATACAATTATATATCTCCCAAGTATTCGATATTCGATTAGAAAAAATATTCGATTCGATTCGGAAATTATCAGGTATCCGAACAACAATAGCAATTTTAAAAATGAAATGCAATTTATATGCTCAATTCGCAATCACTTACCCTTGGAGTGTTTTTTAAAAGTTTCGCTTACGATTTTGTTACGCGGATGTTTTTGTTGGCCCTAAAAATGTAAATAAAATATAAATACGTGGAGCTTATATAATTATTATTGGAGTATGGTCGACTCTTGCACGTTCTTACATTATTCGATATCATTGGGGTGTGTGTGCGATTCACAAAACGTGCCAAACTTATCTGCTGCCCGGGGAGAATTTCTGATAATGATCACTTATATTTACATTCAAAAATAATTTTGGAGATGAAAAAATTATAGATGTTGTTATGCGTAAGAATAAATAACAAAGTTGCCCCTACACCTACTCTAGAAAAGATCTTGGGCGTGAAAGATGAAACGATGTATCGGTATCGGGTATCATTAATATCGGCCAAACTTGTATCGGTATCGACTAATTTTAAATGAAGACCGATATATTTACTTTTTTGATATGGTCCAGAATGTTTCAAAAATTACTTGGATTACAGCTGTTAAACTTATTTTATGCTTGAAGAGAACGTGAACTATGACATATCCATAGCTATTTATCAGCCATTTGTTTTTTTTTACTGCCAAATTTTTTGTTTTTCGGGTGTAATACCGATATTTAGTGATTACAATAACTGTGACACAATACTTAACATGTTTCATCAATACCTCAAAGGAAAGAAGAAAGTCATATTTCAAAATTACAATGTAAAAACATGGCTTCAATAAAGAATAATTGATGAAATCATCTCGACCTTTGGCGGCCTAAAAAAACAAGATGGCGGCAATTCAAAATTCTCGTCTGAAGCGATTTCAATATTAAAAATTTCTCCTTCTGATGACCACTGGTATACAGGCTACCCAAAGTTAACAGCTGACATGATACTTCAAGAAAAAGAATCAGCTAGGGAGAAGGGATTAAAAAAGGGCGCCCCCGAAGTATGTGTACCAAGATGACGCACAGCCTGCACTCTCCCCTGTCACACATACTATGTTCAGGTTGTGAGCCATCTTGGTACACATACTTCGGGAGCTCAAAAAATATACCTCCAACAAATATACTTATTTACCTGCGAACCTTCTTCGGGGATTCGATGTCCATGTAATATTTCAACGCATAGTATCATGAGTATCCAAGTAAAATACATAATCACTCACTATGCGGTAACAATGCTTCGGAAAAAAGAATAGAATTATGTCTGAATTTGTAAATATATAACTGTAAATAAAAGGAAATTTTTTTCAATCAAAATTCCTTGCTTCAGTTAGAAATTCTATTAACGTTAGCTTAAACTTAGAGACGATTGGCCAAAAAAATTCAGGGCATTAAATCCACGGGTATTCATTCAATTCTTCGCGGGCGCAAAGAAATAAAAAAATCTACAAATCCATCGGCTTAATTCAGAGCTTAGCCAGGTCAAAATGATCGTGAACAAATCAGGCATCCATGATAAGGGAGCCGATATGCCAAAATGTATATGTAACATCGGGACCTTCTAATATAATATATAGTAACTAGCTACCTGTTATCAGAGTATAAAAAAAACCTTGTTTGGAACGAACATTTAATATGACTGATGAAAAAAAAAATTAATAAACATCTAACAATACTGAAACAACCTTTCGAGAATCGATAACATACAATGCGCAATTTGGCGATCAATTCTCAATATATTGCGCTAGATTTTTTTTTATATTTTTTCGCTACGACTTTTACTTATTTTTTTGTTAACTGATAACTTGTTTTCTTTTTCTCTCAGTTCTCTCGAATGTGATTTTCTGCGCCTTTCAAAGTACTAAACTTTTTGGTGATAAAATTGCAAAATTCGCACGACAATGATGACAAAATTACGGCAAGTTTTAGGGTATGTAACACCATATGATAAAATACACTACAACAGTGCTTCCTAACTTTTTATGGCTCGTGGCCACTTTTCGTAGGCTTTTGGCGCTCGTGGCCCAGTGATATTTATACTGGGTGACCATGGGCTATCGGCGGGAAACCGCTGCGCTAGAACTTGTAGAGTATATGTTTTATTGCACATTTATATGACGTTTTACACGTCTTTGAACAATCTGACACTTCTTATTCCTCTTTGAACAAAGCTATATGATAGCGGCAACTGGGCACCGCATCTCCAATGCAATTTATTATAACTTGTGTGAGGTAATGGCCACGAGAATAGATCTATAGGTTTGTAGCCACTGATATTTGATGGTGTGTAAGGAGATTTTGGAAAATGCAATCTTTCCGGTTCGAGTGGGTGTGCTCAGGGCGTCGGATTTGAAACTGAGATGTGGGTGTGGTGAGGGCGTGGAAACCTAAACCTCGCGCAAACCCACTTCAAACTAAAGGCGTGAGAGACCACTGATATGGCAGAAATGACCAGAACAATAATGAAGGATGATTAGCGCGTAAATTTCGTAATTTGGTAAATTCAATACTTTTGCGTATAGAGTACAGTCTTATTATTCTCGTAAAATACTGTCAGCTTTTATTTAAAATAATAAGTTTCCTCAAAGCGAGATCGGAAGCTAATTGAACTTGCGAATTTTATTGGTATCAGGCGAAGTTGTGCGTCACGGAAGTAATTGTCTCAAAATGCTGCGAACTTGACTTTTAGCAAACTTGCAGTTTCAGCAAAACACCCAATTCGAACGCCTTATCAAAACGTTGTTGAAAACACTCTATAGTAACCCATCTAGGAATTCTATTTACTTTCAAATTTTTTTTTTCATTTGGCTCATAAGTTCTGATTTCAGATTCAGATATTTACTTTCATCTTTCAAAAAACAATGCAAACAATAAACACACCTGAAATTGAAAAACGATATAATAAATTGAATCTAGCAATTGATGAGGGGGTCGCGAAAGACTCGGTGATTCGTCCAGTCAGCCGCACCCTCTTTCTAACTCCAAGCAGCAAATACAGGGGAATTTTTTTTTTCAACCCAACCTAAGATACACAATGATAAAAAATTTAACAGAACAGTGAGGAAAACAAAAAGTAATATATATCGTATAGGTGACGCATTAGCGACATCTAGAGAACAGGATATACTTCGCACAGCTAAATTTTGCTGACTAATATGATTAAGCATAAGAAATGACGCTTCTGCTCAGCAACGAGTGTCGTTACTCGTTACGACAGACAAATTAACTTATTGGCTCGATGAAATACTTGAAATGAAGAAGATTATGCATTCAGCTAACGTCACAAGATGTGTAGTCAGAAATGAACAATAAATACCAAGCATAGAACAGATAACAGCAAAGTAAATGATGAACATCTTTTCTGAATGAAGCTGCAGTAATATAATGGAAGAACATAAATGAGCGCATGTTCACTAAACGCCGTGGGTACTTCTAGTTGACGTGCCACAAAAATTTTTGCATATGTTATTTCTAACCCCCACCTGACTACGCCATACAAACTTCGTCACTACGACCTCCCAATCGCGTCATGAAGCTTACCAAAGAAAAGCTACGATGGGTGATCGTCTGCGCATTTTAGACGACAAGCCGTATACTTTGACAGGCCTTATTTCGTCACTGTGACGTTGTAGTGACGTGGGGGTTAGAAATGACATACGCAAAAATGGTTATTCCACGCCAACTAAAAGAACTTGATGGCGTTTAGTGAACTAGTCTCCATAAATGGATAAAGTGTATGGAAAATGAAATTTCATACATGTCACATGAATGTCTCTTTAGACTACTGATAAGAATCAAGATATAAAGTTTTCAAGAAATGCTTGTTGTACACATTATAATTCATTGTTCGAGTACTATCAGGAAGCGAATTCCATAGTTTGACACCAACAAATTTGATTGAGTTTTGGGCAAGTTCGTTGGAATATCGAGTAACGTAATAAGAGCATCTGGCAGAGGCCCATGTAGCATATTGAGTGCACATCACTCCGCTTCGAGAAATAGTTGGTGAATGCTGGAAGGAGCTTTTTGTTATGGTGTTGGTGTATTAATTTCGACACTTCAATTTTATATACATCTTCTACTTTGATTATATGAAGGCTATGGTAAACAGGACAAAGATGAGTACGGTACCAACATTTGAAATAGCATGGATTGCTCGACTCTGTAAAATTTCAATGCGTTACAATAAGGTCCTATTCTCTGACCCACTATGCCCTATTCAATATGGCATTGAAATAAAGAACATACTGTGACGCGAATGGAATCGATATCATCATACGCGCATACGTATATATAAGGTTTCAATTAGATATTTAGATGATGTATTGAGAGGTCTGGTATATGGAGTCAAGTCGTCTGGATCGGTGTCGTGTCGTCATTTCTTCATCGTTTGTTCTCCGTGTCTATCTACAACATTAAACTCATCTACAGCGTTCAACGTGTTCTTGTCTACAAGATTAAAATACTTCAACACTGTTCATAATAAGCTAAAGCGTTACAATAATGTCTTATTTTCTGAACCCCATGCCACTATGCCATGTTCAATATGGGATTGAAATAAAGAGTAGTAGTAGATAATACGTGAAGTGGTTGGGGATGTAAAATGTCGAAGCTTATATACTGTTCCAACTGATTTAAGTAATTTAACAGCTAGTTCGGTACTTGAATATCCCACTTCATTTTATATATATATATATACCAAGGTATATATAGGAGTTGACATTTTCAAGAACAATGGGTTACGTGGTAAACTAAAAATAGCAACGGGCCCAAACAGCTGCCTTGAGGAACTCCGTGTGCCACTGGTATGAACAATATTTTCCTACTTGCATGCTGTGATCTGCCACTCGAATAGCTATAAATGAGTTTATTTGCTATACCCCTAATACCATAATGTCTCAGCTTGAAAACCAGAAAGTTGTGATTTACAGTATCGAAAGCCTTCTTTAGATCTAGAAAAGTTGAATAAACTATTTTATTTCTAGTTTAATAAAAATATATGAGATTGTATACAAAATGGCATGCGATGTGGAATGATTGTTCTGAAAACCTAATTGAGATTTATTTATCATATCATGTTTGGTTAAAAAATCTTTTATCAATCAAACGCTCAAATATTTTATCAATCGCTGAAAGAATTGATATAGGTCTATCATTTGACACATTTTTTTTATTGCCTGATTTGAACAGTGGCTTTACCCAAGAAACTTTGAGAGATGATGGAAAGAAGCCCAATGAGAGGGAGCAATTAAAACTTCTGCCAAACAAGGCGCAAAGAGATCAGCAACTAATTTAAAGAAGCAAGCGTGCTGAAATGTTATCGGGCCTTACTGCTTTCCTGTCTTTCAAATTTGATATCTCTATTATTGATTCATTAGTACTGAACAAATTCATGAAAATAGACTGGCTCAAACGATTGCGGAGGAATGACTTATAACTGTCCATTTCATTTGAAAATTTGTCTGAGGGGCTAAAGCCGATTGTGGAGAAGTATTATTACCATCTTCAATGGTACGGCGGTTTGGTTTTCTTTTTTGACACTACGTCCATTGACGTCTTTCACTCCGAATAAAGCCTTGAATAGCCAGCTTTCAATATTTAACAATATGTAATAAGCTACTATTTTTAAAGGCTCGCAATCAATTTTTGGCATTGCTTACCCAATTTATCACATCCTGGGTGAGGTGGTGGACATGGGGTTCCGGCATTTCGTGCGCACTTTAATCACAACTTGAGGTCCGAATCCGAAATCTTTGAACGCGGAGTTTCGTATAACACTCGTATAGATGTACCACTATATCGGTATCGGCCGTTTTTTTCGGTATCGGTATTTGTATTGGTATCGGCTAAAAATATACCGATATGTTTAGCTCTTTGAGCTCAGATTTGATTTTAAATATTTTGAAACATAGATTAGTATAAATATATTGATGACTGAAATTATTATATTTTGCCCTGAATGAACCACATGCCTGGCATTTACTGCTGGTTTAACTCTCTATGTGTAACAATATGAAGGTAACTACTATACATCAAGTTGTGTAAAGAAACCGAAACCTACGGGCAGGTGGGAGTATATTCACTTGGTCCCCGAACTCGTAAAATAATTAAAGGAATAAAATTATGGCCTAACCCTAACCTGTTACACACACTAGGAGATCGTCATATGATGAGTGACTGCTTTCAAGTGTTTTGAGCTCGCCACTGAGCTATGTCTGCGCCCATCCTCGCGAAACGGGTATTATAGCGCCGTGTCTTCTGGAACCAAGAAGTTTTTCATAATTTCGAACTTCTGAACGTTTTTAAATTCAAGATATTATCAACTAAACTTGCTTATGACTGCAATTTTATGAGTTATGTAGGTTTTTGAAAATTCAGCTGTGACGTCGTTCGATATGACGCAATAATTTATTTAAAAACAGACATGACGACTCAGGAGATTTTTTATTGCATCTGAAAAAAAAATATAGGATTTCAAAATGTCCGTTCTTCAGAATAAAATATTGCCCACTGTAAATATTGTACCCAGACAAATATTTTATTCATCCCGTTCGTACATTCAAAAACATTATATACTATATACACATTGATGATAATCACATAATATCGGTATCGGAATATGGGCACTTTGAAATATCAGCGTTTTGATATCAGCACTCTCATAGCGGTATCGGATTGAAATCGCCAAAAAAGATACATCGGCACATCTCTCTGGCCCAGAGTTTCCAATTTTCGAAAAGTTTCCAACTTTTTTACAATTTCTTGTCAACTAGGTCGAAAATAAAATCCGAGGATGACATCTTTCGCAGAAGAAATTATATGTCCCAACGAGCCAATTTCCATCTCAATAACCCATAAACGGGAAAAACTTTGTAATTTTAGTGATTATGTTTTAATTATTAGCCACAGTATCATACCACGTATGCAAGAATGTAGCCTAGACGCGCAGCGCTCAAATGAACTGACAATTTTGGTAATTCGGCTACTACAGTATGCTGCCGTTTCATACCTTAGCAGATTTACATGCATGGAAACAGTTTGCCACTGTGCGGGCCTCAACTATCAGCGAAGATTCTGGAGACACTTTTATATGATATATAGAAACACTTCACTATGGCCCTCCCATGAATTTTTCCCATCAAGCACAAAATCCTAATTCGACATTTTATGTTCAAAATGGCGCTCTCATGGGTGCTCACATAATGTTTTTGTTGCTGCGTTAAATCTTTCGCCGTTTTGTACGGTGCCTTTATTGCTGTAAGAATAAGCGATAGCCACGGGTGGGGCGGGGCATTTCAAATCGAATAGCAAAACATTTGAATAGGGTTAAAAGAAAATTTCGAATTGCCGCCATCTTGTTCTTTATATCCGACAAATGTCGATCCCTCATTTTTTCCCCAATAATTCCGATTTCCAATACCTAACACGACAAGCGAAAAATTGAATGGTGTTGCGTTGAATAAATAACCTTGAAGAAATTGGTTCCATCAGTGGTCGGCTACCTTTTTTTGGTGACGGACCGGTAAAGCCTGACCAAAATTTTAGCGGACCACCTTGTACAGACGGAATAAGCTTATGTAATAAATTATATGTGTTAGGATAAATAGGTTGATATTAAATTCAGAGAATAAAGGTGATGTTATTCAAGTAATGTGTTTTCTTACGTTCAGCCTACTGCGATTTTGTAGTTGTCAATTTTAAAAACCCGACTTCACATGGATGTAAAAATGCCTGTAAAGCTTTTGTGCCATGCCGGGGTATCCAGTTAGTAGTATTGCCCAAAAAACTGCAGAAGTACCCTATAAATCGCAAAGACTCTTTTTAACTAAATATTGTTTGAGTTGTTAATCAACTAAACATGTCATTAGGACATTATCCGTCTTTTGTGCCACGTTTCTGAGGACCGGTAGTAACCTTTCCGCGGACCGGCAATGGTTGTCGACCACTGGGTTATATAATATGGTAAATTCGTGATTTTAGGAAAAGTGTGGATTTTGAAATAATTCGAAATTAATGGAAAAATTTTCGTTGTGAGCAACTGACTGTAAAGCTTAAGAACTTATTTTATTTCCGACTGTAGAAATAGAAAAAATTAGGCCATAATGTTTTTCTGATTTTCCCTTTTTTAGTTCTATTACGAGTTCGGGGACTGTCTGTGTTATCTGGGTGAATATACCCCCTGCCCGTAGGTTTCAGTCCATTTACACAATCTAATGTAAAATAGGCGAACGAAATTAGTTCATATGTGTACACACACTTATTGAGAACCTCCTTTCTATAGATAAACTATCGCATTATGATTTTAAGCTTGATTAGGATTTTTTGACTAATTGGCGTGGCGGGCCGGGTTGTGGCCCATGGGCCGTCTGTTGCACACAGCTGTTCTAGAGCTTTTTGATACATCCCTCCCATTAAATATTTTAAAACTGTTCGTCCACCTTGCTGTGCATAAAAATCCATTTTTGTTACCTTTATTCGATATTCAGAATGGTTACCTTCATTCGTGCTACAGAATCCTTGCATTATACGCTTACGAACCCCCAGCGCAAAGGTGTAGAGAAGGAATATGACATTGGTCTCGCAGCACTAATTGCCGGTGACCGTACATTTGAACCCATGTACATTTGAACCCATGCGTATATCCACGGGTTCAATCTATATGCGGGTGCTAAAACCCATGGGTTAGGGTTAGTATGGGTTTAACTATCCGTGAAACAAAAAAAATTCCATGGGTGCAATAGCATACAGGTGCAATTGTCATGGGTTCAAATGTAATGGAACCCTAATTGCCCTGTGTAGGTCTAAATATATGCAGACTCTATGCTGTACTGGTAGTTGCACATAACTACTAGTCGATAACGGCTTACTTCATCATCAAGTCCATGCATCTAAAGCAGGGGTCTCCAACTCAAAACATGTCGCGGGCCACTTTTTGAAAATTATTGACCACGCGGGCCGCAAACCATGAAATTAGGTACAGAAATGGGTATCTGAATGTAATGTGTTGAAATTACACTTGAATCTTACAGCAAACGAGACATGAAACATATTCATTCACTTGTGATGGATATTTGGTCTCGATGTTTGGCCTTATTTTGCGTTGGTTTGCTAGTCTCAAGAAAACATGCAAATGCTCGTCCATTAGTCGTTTGCGGAGGGCTGACTTGCTAACTTTCATAGTCTAAAAAAATTGCTCGCAAATATAAGAACTGCCAAAAATCGCAGGTATGCAAAGTGAATGTGCAATTAGCTCTGCAAACCTCTCCTCGGGCACAATGGACTGACCGAAACTCTTTTATTTCGTCACAAGGAACATGCGAAATGAAATTATCGCATTTATAATTGCAATATAACAATATTATAAAACATGAACGTGGACAATAGGGGGGAATTTTGTTTCACTTTTTATAGTTTGTCGGACCGGGCTCTTGATGATAAATGACACGATAAAACCTACTGAAAGTTGATATCGTACTAATTTAGTTTTTTGTGGAAAAATCCCAACCATGACGCGGGCCGCAAAAAATTGTCTGGCGGGCCGCGTGTTGGAGACCCCTGATCTAAAGCAAAGAACTGACTAACTGTTCTCATATGCTGACATAGACTGGTAACCTGACGAGAGGCTGTGGTTCTCCATATGATTTAGACATCCTATCACCTTTCTTTTCCCGCAAGATAAACAATAGTACCATTCTGCCCAATTTATGATTTGTTAAATTAAAATAAATAACTACTTGTCCCATATCCCGACATGGATCGATAACTGGATGAGAGACCGTGGTTTTTCGTATGATTAAGCTATCTTATCGCTTTCTCTCTCCCCCGTTATAAATATGAATACCTATCCCAGATACTTTCTTGTGATACCTTAATGATACATACCGTGTTATATTTTTGGCGCTCCCGTACTATGCCCATCAAGATGGCGCACAACCTGATTACTCAACCTGGTGCACATACTATTTTCAGGTTGTGCGTCATCGTGGTGTACATATTACTATTTTTCATATTCTATTACGTGGCAAAGTAGAAAAAAAATGGTAGATTTCTGCCTTGTATAAAATTCAAACTTTTTAGAGCTGCTTCTTATGTTATGCCCCGCACACTGTATTGCTTTATATTTTCATATATATATGTAGTCTGATGAAAATAAAGATGGCTGATTCTGCCTTCACATGCGATAAGTTCGGGTATATACTTGGGTGAGTGCTAGGTATAGGGGCTAAAGGAAGGGTGGGTTGGGGCCTTGGGGTTGTGTTGGCTAGTCCCCAGCTCTTAGTAGAACTAAGATAGTAGCTTAGTAGCCTAACCTGGTACATATACTATGTTCCGGTGTCTGCCATCTTGGTCGAAGTAACCAATCCTTTCGTTTTTACTTGACTATTAATTTATTTAATCTAATGTATGACATCAAATATAGTTTGCAAATTCCTCTAAATATTTTTTAAGTTAGGTATAAGGGTCATCATTATCATAAACTCGCCCTGGGCAGCAGAATTGTTTGGCACACCCCTGCTATCACCATTCACACAACTGATGAAGGTTCCAGTTGTAAAAATAGTGGATCTTTACGTATAAATGGCTGCTTGTACTGCCAGTCTTCCATCATAGAGAAAATTCAGCTTATTTTAATTTGCTTTGAAGGGGTCCATTTTGCACAACCCATGCTACTGAGCTAAAGTGCGTTGTTTGCCAAATGGGTAGGGGGTTCTAGTTTTGATGAAAATAGTTGGTTATTACGTATAAAAATGGCAGCATTTGCTGTCAGTCTTCTATCTTAGAGCAACTTATATCTATTACACTGTTTTGAGGGACCCGCTAGTGGGCGTCGGGAGTAGGTATGCTTGCGTTCCATTTTACAAATACGGGGCCTGACAGCACCTGAGCAAAAGTGCGATGTTTGGGCTTTGTCGGACGACGGGTAAGGCGTTCTAGTTCTGAATAAAGTTGGTTTTACGTATGAATGGCTGTTCGTTGTCCTTCTATCTTAGAGCAAACTAACCTATTTTAATTTGGACATATCGAAGTTAATGTTTTTCTTAACCAAGCGCCGCAATCAAAATTTTGGGCACTCCAGAAGTGTGTGTACCAATATGTGTACCATTTAAAATGGTTTTGGGGTATTTCCTCTTTTTGTTGAAAGTTGAGTTTGATATAAGTTTGATATCCACCAATCTTGGTTAGATATTGTTAATATTGATTATGATTATCAGTCATTATCATTGATCTGGCATTATCAGTCTTTGGCTTTTCGTAACTGTGAAATTATGGTTCAATCTCGCATAAATATTTATATTGGTGGGTACAGATGTTATCGTTCAGCTCCCAATTAGAGCGACGCACCACTTCGACACAATCTTCATTACCGTCGAAGTTATTTGGTTCACCCTCATGCCATGGAGTAGAACCTGCAGTTGCCGTTACACCATCCTCCCAGATAAACGTATTTTCTTCTTGAATGTCGTTCAAACCAATCCAAGTTTTGTATCCTCCAGATTTGACCAAGGGTAAGATTTCTCTACAAAAAATAACTTATTTTGCAATCACACCATTCATGACAGTTCAAAGGTTGGTTAAGCATTCTTAGAGTTGAGACTTAGGAATGGCCAACACCGAATTACTTTTTGCTTAATAATTAAGTACCTATAATTTCATTTGTCAACTTCCGACCATTAGTTATAAGTATAAAGGCTCCAAGATATTTTTCAAATGATATAATACAGGCCCAATGGGCGCTACGGCATAACGTTAAAGACTATGGCATTTGGGAATCTGAAAAAACGAGTCTGAATCGTTATATGAAAACTAAGCAACACTTGTTTAGATTATTCTACGATTATATTGGATTTCGGTCATGAGGCCCTTATTGATCCCAACAACCCAAATCACCTGCGAATATTTTCATCTCGAATTCCCGCCGATGCCAGATTGCCTCCGTATCTCTTACAATTTGCCTTTGCCTCTGCGTAAGTGGCCAGATCGTGAAATAGTTTGTAGTAATAGTAATTCCGCGCTTGATACCATGTGCTAATCTGTTCTATTCTTGTCACTTTTGTCGTAATACTTCCCAGTTGCTCTCGGATTTGCTGCATCACTACAAAGTGGATTTAGATTTATTTATTATCATGTCTTAGTTATTCAAAAATGCGATAACCTCAATAACTTTATATGAATACAAAAATCTTATTTTCTTATGTTACTAAGTAAGATTTTTTTTCATTCGTCTTTATTTGACAAAATTTACCTGATTTTCTAGACTTCAACAGCTGTTTCGATTCCATTCAGTTTTGAGTGTGCCCGCATAATAGAAAATGGAAAAATCACAGTATTTGAAAAGTATTAAAAAGCTGAAAAACTTTGTGAGACAAAAATAATTTGTAACGGGCGACAAGAAAGCTTTTATCGTGGATGAAAGATCCCAACCCCGTATGCTCAGTTTAACTAAACACTGATCGTCCTATTGGACACGAAATGCACATATGCATCGTTTTATTATTATGTTTTTCTTCACGCTTATTTCTTGTTATTATTTTTCTCATTTAAAAAATCGCTTATCTCATCCACTCCTGGACCAATTGCTTTCAAGTTTTCACTGGTTGAGGATCGTATTTTTTGCTAGAGGGGTTTTACTTTCATTTATTCAAAACATTTCTGCTGACAATATAGGACTATCAGTTGGGGCTACGAAACCTTACAGAAAAGGGGTTAGTGTACAGAAGGACTCTTGCATCAAAGACTATGTAGGATTCGTTGTTTGTGTAATATGACGTCATCAAAAATTGCGCACCTTGAGGCGGTTCAGCGATCGCGTTAGTCGTGAACACTGCCGGTAGTCTACTGTTACATATTGCTTATACGTACTACTTCGTTTTGACCGTGTCCAGATATTTAAGCATGCAATTAAGCATTTAAACTATTTACCTGCTTTCAAATCCTCTACGTCCTCGCTACATTTCTCAACAACAGGACCAATTTGAGTCAGCTTTGCTTGTATCTGTACGGAAATATCTGAACAAGAATTTATCCGACTTGAAATACCATTATTTTAAAATATTCACGGAAATACACCATTCACAAAAATGTCTGCATATGTAGGACACTGGTAAAAATAGAAAAATTCAAAATAAACGTGCTGATATTTTTTTAATTTAGTAAATATGTAACCTTAAAAATATTATCAAAATGATCTGCCTGAGTGATGTTTTGAATGTTAGCAGTAAGTCATGTGTCTGGAGGACCTAAAATGATAAGAAAGTTACATACAATTATATAACCCTCAAGTATTCGAGATTCGATTCGAAAAAAATATTTGATTTGGTTCTAAAATCATCAGGTATTCGAAAATGCCCAGCCTTACTTAGAGAACATACAAAAAATAATAGTAAATATTTTCACAAACGACCCCATGAATCCCAATAGTGATATAAAAAATAAAATGCAATTCATATGCTCAATTCGTAATCACATACCATTGAAGTGTTCTTTTATAGTTTCATTTACGATTTCGTAATTTACGACACCAGGGGGCCCCACGGGCCCAGCTTTTCCTTGTTTAATTTCGTGACCGGTTCTGACGGAATGCTGGCCTCGGTTGGTGCAATACAGATGCATTTCCTGATCCTAAAAAATGTAGATTATCAATAAAATGTGAAAACGTGGAGCGCAATACAACAATTATAAGTGGAGTATGGTTAACTCTTGTCCCAGGAGCGTAGCCAGGGGGTGGTTTTGGCAGTCGAAACCCTCCCCCTCTTTTTGGAATGTAAAAAAAAATAAAAGCATCTTTCTGTATAGCAATTACATAAGCAAGTACATAGCAATTTTTCGTATCTTCGAACGCTTTTTAGACTCTGTCTGTTGTCTGTTGAATACACACGCTTCCCGGCTTCCGGTCGGACCTACTAGAATTAGCTGTTTCGATCTAATATTGCAAATAGAAATTTTAGACCCCCCTCCCCGTAAAAAAATTATGCCATCCCACTGTCTTGTTCCAACATTGGTGGGGGGATAAATTATGATAAATATTGACGGCAATGATGCTATTTTTGTCCTTAATGGTTTCTCCAGTGGACCAGTCCACTTCACTACCAGTCTGGGGGAATTCGAGGCGCACCATGTCAACCAGGATGGCGGACACCTGAACATAGTACCTGTACCAGGTTAAGGTTAGGCCATAATTTTATTCCATCTTACTGTATTTTAGTTCTATTGCGAATTCGGAGACTGTTTGTGTTAGCCAAGTGATATACCCCCTGCCCATAGGCTTCAGTCCTTTTACACAATTTGATGTGAGAAAGGCGAAAAAAATAGTTACCTCCCCATTGGTACGCACGCTTCTCGAGCGACGATTATTTTATCAATTATTTTATCATGCGTTATGCTTATCATGCAGTCGAAATAAGCTTTTACTTATAAACCAATAAGAATGAAACGAGAATATCGGTCAGAGACCGAAGACTTATCGATCGAAAGTTAGGGGTCCCCCAAAACAGCGCTTTTACTCCATAGTGACACCTTGTGTCCCATCACTAATTAATTAATAACTCGCTAATTATACGACATAATTCATTCAAAATCAATAGGCTTCTGGTACGACATATAATGAATGCACATGCAAAATCTTGAGCAGATTCAATCTTGCTTTCGCGTGCATCTAACAGACAAACAGACAAATACCTATCAACATACTTACCAATTAAAATCGATAAGTGATAATCTCTAACTTCTCCTGATAAAACAAGATATAACTGCAAATATGGCTATTTCTATTTATCTGTATAAAACTATCGATCTACAAAACTATGTACCTCCATAATGATACACACAGACAAAAATGAGCTCCCATTTTGGTTATACACGGCGCCTCACACAATTTAAATTCGGACCAGGGCAAGCAGCCACGAATAACTGGGTGAGGTGGCAAATTTGAGAACGAGATGTGTAACCTACGATGTCAACAAAGTTCATCCTGACCCTCTAACGCTAGGCCTTGGCGCCCGCAGCAAAGTTAGACATAAATCAGAAGTTGTGTTTTGTTTCGATTCAGTTCAGTTGCACTCATCGGAAAACAATTTTAAAATCATGATTGGACTTGCTAAAATAACTACAACAGTGTATTTGTGAATAGATTGAAACAAAATGGCGGCAAAGATTGTTTAAGTTTCAAAAAAATACACCAATGCGCGAAGCGAACTTGCGGCAACATTTGAAATAGGCATCGCCAGGAAGATCTTAATGAAAGAATAGAAATTACGGAAAAATCAGCATGGGTAATATCGCATTTTAAATTATTTCTGGGGTTAAAGATCATGACAATTATTTTGGTTCTGTTAGAGGAAACTCTGAAAAACAGCGTAGGAATTCTCGTGTTCAAATTTTCTCTGGGTACAGGAGAGGTGCTATATTTTAACGACGGAAATCTTTCCAGTTCGGCATTGCTTTACCAAATATTACACACTGGGTGAGATAGTGAGCCAGTAGTTTGAGTGATGTAACCACTAAGCCAGGGGTTCTCAACCCGCGGGCCTCATGCGGCCCTTCGATGCATATTTTGCGGCCCGCAAAGATCTTTGATGAACCCAAACATATAACACAATATCTGGGGCGTAACGAATATAAACGATTTTTCAATATCATTCTTCTCATTCATGACAGCGCACGATAAGACTATGGATTGTGATATCGCAGCAAATAGATGAATTACGTATTGTTACGTAAAAATTGAGATACTTAGCACGCTCATCGCATTCTCTATCTACCTTCGGAAACGAATACAAGAAGCATATTAATGGACTAATAAATGAATTAAATAGTATAAATACATTACAATAATATTCTGTGGCCCGTCGCATCTTTTGTAGTTAAAATGCAGCCCGTTTACTTGGGAAGTTGACTACCTCTACACTAAGCTATTGCGCATAAAAGTTGTTTGAATTTCAATATGTGCTTGACAGTGTTGGAACAAAAAGTAATCAATTCTAGATTTCTTATCAAGTGTTACTCAAAATAATATCCGAATTCATTTAATTGTATATTAATAATAAACCCAAGACATTTCTCATTATCGAGGTAAGTGTAGCTCAAATCAATTGATGATTGCTTTGGCAAAACAGAGAGTTTTTTCAGAGTGACCGAAATAAAACTGAAAAACAATGGTGCCACACGTTAAAACATAAACGTCGATCATGATCTTATACCCATGTTGTCAGGACTAGATTTTGACGATAAGAGGCCCTGGACTATGCCATTCTTTAGCCCCCTTTATGTAAAATATTATATGACGTCATAAATTGATTCTTAGATTGCGTAAAATACGAAATTATATTTGCAGAAAATATACGTCAACTAATCAACCAAGTAAATTATATAGTTAGGTAAACTTGATAACACTGAAAAAACTCACGGATGTAATTAAACGCTATAACATCAGAAAATGTTGTTATGTCCATTTCTAGACTCGATTGATGTCACCGACAAATTCATTTATCATTTTATTTTTTAAATAAACTGGTTTACGATTCGGAATAGTAAAAAATAAATGGCTTAGATTCTACGTTTCTTAGGTTTCTTAGTATATAGCTATAATATATATATTTTTTTAAATAATAAAAGCATTATTATGGTCGAAACAATTAAAAAAAAAAACTATAAGAAATATTATTTATTCGTAGAAGGACGTAGAGGCCCCTAAGGCCCAATGGTAAATCCGGCCCTATATAGTGTGATATATGGCGGCAATAAACCGAATCTAGAAACTCCGGCCCGTAAAATATTAAAATGGCGGCTTCCTACAAATCAGTTACATCTTATTGGGAGTAATGGAGAGGAAACATCATAGAACTAATTTTTGATTTTCAAAAAGTCATGCCCGATTCTATTTGACATGTAATATGCAAAGCATCGTTCGAGTCAAGGACAAGTCCCTATTACTCGCTTAAATTAGGAGAATGAGAACGAAAATGAACCTTGTTTCTGCTTATTCGCTAGTAAAAGGAAATGCAACGTTCAATTAAGTTTGGAGTAAGGCTTAAGTAATTGTGCCATTGCGTGGAAAGCTTATAATAGAACAGGGTGGTCCACGGTTATCGGCTTCGGGTGCCACAAAATTCTTTTTGCATTGTTTGCGGGCTACAATAGTGCCAAGAATAGTTAAACAGAGCAACACAAAACGAACACTTATTTGTGCAAATACATTGATCAGTATTTTTCCATATATTTTAATTTTTTGATGTATGAACATGATCGGTGAATAACGTTACAACTACGCGGTTACAAAGACACTCTTGTGAAGGCGGGGACCCTAATAGATTTCCGTGCGTAATCAGCCATTGCAAAACAAATGCCACCGTTTGTCTAAATCAGCGTGGTGCAAATCTTCACATGTGGCACGCTGTATCATTATCTGTGGCCCGCGTCACATTTGCTGATATCGGTAACAATTGGTGAATATTTCAATAGCTTACATAAAAAAAAACTGCGCTTCAGTTATGAAAGCACTTTCTCCGTTTCAAAAAAAGTCTAAAATCTAATACAACGAACAGGTTGGGAGACAAAACATTAGATGCCAAAGACTTTTAACGAGCAACATAATTATTGATATAGAATTATTGATTTAATGATAAAATGTCTTGGAACTAATGTGGCCCACGAACAGTACAAAATTAATATTACGGCCCCCAAGATTGGACTGCCCTGATCTAAATTATTCACTAACCACGCAATAAATTGAAAAGCGTAATATCGTTGGTTCTGGCTTAAAACACTGGTTTGCCAGAACAGAAATTGAGTAAATATCGGTCAAATGATGGTGAAGAGTTGAATAAAAAATAAATGTGATTTTCTATAATGAGTGCTACGCCACTCACCTGCGAACTTTGTTCGGGAATTCGCTGTCCAAGTGATATTCCGAAGCATAGAATCATGAGTATCCAAGTAAAATACATGATTACCAAACCTAATATCAATACCTCGAAAGACTAGCAATTTCTGAATTAGTAATAAATTTTTAAAAATAAATCCTATCAAACATAAACTGGTAATCCCATAATATGTGCACCAAGATGGCGGACACCGGAAAGTAGTATGTGTACATGTTACGATTCGGCTATAATTTCAGGTACAATTACTACAGCAGTCACTTGGCTACTCCCCGAACTCGTAATGGAACTAAAATAATAAAAATTGAAATAAAATTATGGCCTAACCTGGTACACATATTACGTTCCGGTGTCCGCCATCTTGGTGCACAAACTTCTGGAGCGCTCACCAACTTTATAACATTTATTCATTTAAAAAAGGAATGCTAGTATTTTCAAATCCGTGTCCCCATGTAATTTGGAAGGCGGTGAGAATCAGCTACCGGAATCATCAGTTATCAAAACCGGTTAAACCTTTCTTGTGACTCCACGCACTTAGGTGATATTTCTATGCTAGCTATCTAATTTTTCATTCATGAAAATCCGCACTGTTAACATTTTTTGAACAACTTTAACAAATGTT